CCGGGTCGCAGCGCTACCCGGCACGCACGGCACGAAAGATTGGCAGCAGTTTAAGCCATGGCGACACAAGCTCAAGGATCCTCCTGTACAAGCAAGCAACTGCACTGCAGGCTGAAGTCCTCTCCGTACACTTGCATTGCATGATGGATGGGCCATGGTTGCTCACACACGCCCCTTTGTGGCCTGGACCGCAGCTTCGGTAGTGAAAGGCACGGCAGCATGGTACGAAGTGTATACTAGCTTACTGCCTGTGTATCACGATCGAACCTTCGCAACACACTTGCAGACAATGACGAAAACAAGGAGGGGCAAGAGCTACCGGCGAACAGCGACCCGACGTCGAGGACAGGCGCACATGGACTTGTGCTTGGGCCGTCTTCGTCACGATAGGACGGCGCAGAAGGCAAGAGAAGAACAAGAAGGAGGACAAGAAGGAGAGGGAAAAGGAGAGAAAGAGAAAAAGGGAAGAGGGAAGGAAAATAAAAAATAAAACAGTCACCAACAACAGCAACAACCGCCGAGGCCGAGGCTGGTGCGTACATATCACGACCGCCGTCCTGGTCCAGCTGCAGCGTTGGCCGTCTCGATGCGACGCAATGCCCCAGCCCATTCCTTCACACAGACACAGTTCATGAATGCACGGGATCAGCACGTTTTGATGAATTTTTCCGTGCGCATAATGCGCCACGGCCGATCTGATAGCCCTTCTCACCTTGCCGGCAAAACATCATGGCTGAAATGGTCTGTGCCTAACATAAATCGACCTCGACCTCTGCTTTGTTTCCATCGCTGTGCGTTGTGTGTCAAACACCCCACGTGGACGTCTTGCATATTGGTCCGTCACACCAGCGCCTGAACACGCCCAAGTCCTGGAGGGCCGGACAGACCTGCTGGGGTGGAAGGGAACTCCCGCTCACAGCGGCGCATGGTTCGGTTCATCTCGAAGTCGTTGAGAGCGTAGTGTACATGTTGGATTGAGGATGGGGCGTGAGACAAAGATGAGCTATTCATTCCGTTCATTCATTGACCCTTGATCCATCGCTGGACTGTGCTGCAGAGCCCCTCGCTCAGTGCTCCGGTCAGTTTGATAGTAGATCGACTAACTATTATGGCCATGGCGCGTGCGGTCCTTTGACTTGTTTTGCACCTTTTGTGTGGCAGGGCGCGGCAGAGACGAAGCTGATCATGGGACGACTTGGGGAATCATGCAGAAAGGAGCAACTTTTTTTTAGCCCCGACGCCACTCGACGGATTGAATTCCCACGTCGAGCTGGGGCCGAGTTTAGTTGCGGGTACGGAGTACGATTTACGACGTCTGTTGGGCCAAGTTGCGTCTAGACAATTGATTGACATTGACCCCTTTGGACCCTGTGCCCGGAGCCCGGAGCTATGTCGATTTCGATCGGCGACAGAGACCCTGACAAGGAATGGAGCTGTTTGAAGTGCTTTGTCGAGGCGCAAGATGACTGCATCTTGGCCATATGAGACGGTGTGGGAGGAGAAATGGCCAAAAGAAAGCTGGGAGTCAGGGGGCCTCCAGGCTACACCTTAGACGGCCCCTGGCTTTGGTTGGGATTGCAGCAGCACCAAGAATGATTCAAGAGCGGCACCGTATCTGGGCATCATGAACAATGTGTCCGTATGCCGCATCCAGCGCGGGCTCTCGGGAACAAGTCGACGACCGCCTTTTCTATGCGGAATCGACCGTGGCAGCCAGCCTCGCCATCACCGTGACAAGACACCCGTCAGCCAACTCCGTCGGACAAGCTGCAGGCTGGACCGAATAGGCGCCAGTCCATGCCTGGAAGGGGCTTCTGGATGGGAAGCACCGAGCACTACAGAGCGGGCCAGGGTGACAGAAGTGACAGAATGTGTGCCTGATATCCAATTCCGGTGAATGGATGCCGTATCAAGCTCAAAGAGAGGCTCGTCGTCGCCCTGTATTTGCTTTTTCTGAATATGCCGCCTGATGTCGTCGACGCTGACCAGTTGGGACTCCCACAGACGGCGGCGTCTTGCGCGGATATACTCCGTACATGCGGAGTACTCCGTGCTGGGGCCGTAAAAGCGACGCCAAGGTTTGCAGATTCCGGGAAACAAGAAGAAGTTGGTAATCGTGTCTTTAGAGAGAGCGTCAGTCAGTCCGCGGCCGAGATGGGCGTCCGATGGGCGTTCGTTTCTTGGCCGCCCCCTCATACACGGCACAGAGAAGCGTACGTGATGAGCAAGGAACAGGATGAACAACGTCACACGGAAGAGGAGCGTCGTCACCGCCGGTGGTCAAAGGGCGTCAAAAGACGGCTGTCTTGGACCACGGGTGATTTGCCCACGACTTCCACCTCTCTGTGATCGGATTTTTAGTCTCCGCGGGGATGTGACGAAAGTATCTGGCCCTCTGTGCTGTATCAATCATCCTCGCCCACCACCTTTATTCCGAGTTCTAGTTGCCCCGTTCAGTCCCGGTAGCCTGATACTACGACGACGGTCAGGGTCGTCGAGGTGCCGAAGAGCCAGACAGCGAATGACGGCGGCAATACAGCGGCGCGTTGTGCTGACAGCAGAAATGCAAAAGTCTACGGAGTACGGCTCAAGCTTTGCACCTGTACTGACAATGCGGATGATATGTGAGCGTTTGAAGGAAACCTTGGCAACAGCCGAACAAGTCCTGTACCTGATGGCACGAGAGGTACAACTATGGGGAGCAAGACACATGGGCCTTCCTGTGCATCCCCCCAACCAATTGTTTCATCAGGTTTTGCATCACGTCAACGCAGAGCCTCTGGGATAGTGGTAACCATGCACGGAGTATGCGACGCCTGCCTTGGGCACAGCCCAGGTCCCTGCCTTTGCGTCCCTTGTTGGTCTGCCTGCAAGCCCCCCCCCCCCCCCTTTCTTCCCTCGCGTGTTCAAGGCGAGAACAGACGGACGACATGCGCTGTGCCTTGGCTTCTGTGGCATGGGATAGGGCCATGCAGGGTGCCCGGTGTCTTTTGTTCGGCGCACCGACCTGTAGGCATGTGAGCTGGTGATCCAGCCTTGGCTGCAGTAGCCTCATGTACGGAGGACTACTCGGCCGTGTTGCCTGACGATGTCAGCCCGGGCCCGTGTGACCACCGTCACGCATTGTCTTGGACCTGTGACGTGTGTGGCCCAAATAGAGTTATCTGCCATGGCTTGCGTCTGGCCTGTGTGATTCAGACAGAGACGGGGTCCTCTCTCACGACAGATGACTGTAGAGGCGCTGACGCGACTCTGCCGGATCGTGGCGGAAAAGTATGCTCGGTAGAAGGAGACGTCACGGTGGGACTTGACCCGAGGAGGTCGAATGCTCGTCTGGCGTCTGGGAGTCGTCGCGTGGCATCAAGTCCCGTTGTTGCTACGAGCAACGATTTGCGCGAGTGAAGCACGTCCAAGGTCAAGACCGCATCCACGGCGCTGTCGTCATCATGACACGCCAGCCCTCGTCCCGTCTCAGATACCAACTTGCAACGACTCGACGCAGATTTGGGGCGGAACCCCCGAGCCGCCCTCTCTCCCTCGGCCTGTCCCTCCGCGCAGCAGAGTCGTCAACTAAAAACAAAATACCTCCCGAGAAGCACCGCGGCGAGGGCACGGCGCAGTGCGACTCGACAGCCCAGACCGAGTCACCACAACCGCAACGCCAGCTCCCTCTCACTCGCCCACGGGGTAGCCGAACCAGACGAGCAGCGACACATGGCGCAAACCAAAGACAAACGGTAAAAGGAAAAGGAAACGGGCGAAGAGCGTTGGTCCTAGAAGCTGTTTCCGTGATGCATGACGCCTCGGGAAGCAGAGAGGGAGGAAACAAATCTGTGTCCCGCGCTACGTAACACGACACCACACACACGACACACGACACCAACAAGTCTCACGACCGAGAAGTAGGAAAGGAAGGGAAAAAAAAAAGTAAAGAAAAAAGGCGCCCCTCTGTGCCCTAGCTCTAGTTTCCCCCCCTTGTTTTTTCCTAGCCTTCCCACAAGCGCCCAATGTTACTCTCCCCCCTCGTCAATTTTCACATTTCTCCCCTTCAACTCCTGTCCCCCGCTCAATCGGTCAACGTTGCCTGCCTGGCTGCCATCTGACTGCGGTCACCCACCCCCTTACTCCTCCAATCGACCCTCCTTCGTCTTGCGCGTGCTCGAGTCCGTACCCCCCGTGCCGTGCTGGACCGTCCGCTCCTCACGCGTCAAATATCAATCAACCCTGTGCGCCATGCCTGTTGTGTGCACCGTGTGACCGGACCCCCGAGGCCGTTCAACTTCCGACAAGGAGCAGCTTCCCATCTCGGCGTCTCTCTGCCTGTGATGTGTGCACATGTGTATATGCTCGTCGTCGGGCGTCTTGGACAGCTCGGCGTGGGTCTGTTGGGCTGATGGCGGCCCTGCTTCCCTTTTCGCCTCTCCCGCCCTGCTGTCCCTGCTGTCCCTGCCTCTCTCTCCTCTGGGCTGCCCTTGGCCTTCCGAGGACCAAGCTGGGCCGGCGCCTGCCTGGCCGGCCAAGGGCTCCAACGACCCAACGGACGTGGTGACGGCTGGCGATTGGGGGATTGGCATTGGCATTGGCATTGGTGTCGACGAGCCTCGACGGGGTGTCTACATGTCCACCGGGGCATGCGGCTGGGATTCTGAAACGCGAAAAAACGCGGGGATTCCGAGTCTGAGTCTGACGGCTCTTCTCTCGCATGGTTGCGCGAGGTCGTTTCTTTTCTTTCTCCTTCCTTTGCTTTGGTTTTGCCAAGGCTGGCCTCTTTCCAATTGCGTGGCACATGATACATTACATTCATGCAATCGATGACGGCGGAATGACCTCTCCCGCCGGGGGGGAGGGAAACCGGGGTCTCCTCCTCCTCCTCCTCCTCCTCCTCCTTCTTCTTCTTCACTCGAAAAAAGTGTCCATTTCTGCGACAAGGTTCCCGACATGGGCAGCGACATGGGCAGTTCTATCGATTCGTCTACTGTACATGCATGTGTCCATGTGTCTCATAAATCAACAGCGGGGTATTGCGTCTTTTGAATGTCCTTGATGGTTTGCCTGGTCCGGGGGTTCTCCTCGAAACTGGCCCTGATCAAATCCACAATCTCATCCACGGTAAAGTAGTAGCTTAGCTTTTGCTCGCACCACAGGGCCCTTATGCCGTTGAGGTCGCTCTGCAACACCTCGCCGAGGTACTTGAGCCGCGGCCAGTTGGGCGCGTATTGGTCCGTCGTCGCCGCCTCGTCTCGAGTCGGCTCCGCGCCCCTGAGCTTGCTCGGCAGAAACAGGTCGTCCAGCGACGTTGCCGTGACGATGAGCTTGGCAATGCCGTACGCTTCGTCCTGCCCTATGGACGGCATGTCCAGCACGTCCGTGATGACGCGGTTGGCGAGCGCGTCCACGAGGGAGCCGATGGCTTGCGACCAGACTGATCGTGCTAGCATCTTCTCCCAAGTCGTTGCCATGTGACGGATGCGTGCCACTCCCGATTCGATTGCTGCTTCCGGATCGTCTTGAACGACGACGCTCTGCGAACTTCCTACCAAGTCCTGCAAAACCGTTCTCTGGACGCTCATCTCGTTGGCGTAGCTTCTGTTGGCAAAGTTCTGCAGCGTCTTGATGTCATTCTCGAGACGTAGCATGTTTCGCGCTCGCGGTGTGAGGTCCGCCCGGTCTTTCCAGGCCTCGGAGAACTTTGTGAGCTGTTCTGCAATGTACATGGCGTCGTTGTACAGATACCTGCCATTGTTAGTGTCATGTTGCAGCCGTCACGGCGAATCTGTGTAGACGGTATGCCCTACATGTTGCCACCCACATTGAGGGAGTAGTAATGGGGCGAGATGGCTCTGAACAAGGCCAAGACGAACGTGGGCAAACTGAAGAGCCCCGGCGCCGTGGACGAGACCAGTTGATACTTGTCTCCGTCCGCCGTCAAGCTAGCGCCGTCCTCCACGACGGCCCGTATGAGCTCCAAAACAGGCTCCGGCATGCTTGAAATGTAGTACGTCTCCCTGAGGACAAGCTCTCTCGTCTCCTGCGCCGCGGATTTCGTCTTTTGCTTTTTCGGCGAGGGCTTCGGGGACTCTGGCTCCGCGCTTGTTTCCTCATCGCCCCAGCCCCAAGCATCTGCTCCGGCATCATCCTCACCCTTGCCCTCGGGCTTCTTGGCTCCCTCGGCCGGCTGTTGAGCGTCGCCTTCGTCATCCCAGCCCCATGCGTCGGCGCCGTCGTCTTCCTTGGCCTGCACAGGCGGCTCGGCGTCCTGTTTCCGATCGTCCCAGGCGTCGTCGTCCCAGGCGGCTCCCCAGTCGTTCGTGTCCGCTGCTGCACCCGCTCCAGTTGTTGCCAGTTCTTTGCCCTCTGCCTCAGTGACCATGTGTTTCTCTACCTTTTCGACTTGCCTGGGCTCACCGATTCCATGAACCAGCTTCGTTCGAATCCTGTCCAGTGCAGATTCTCGGCATCGTCCCAGCCACGTCATGTGCGATTTGGTGACCCACCCCTTCAGCTCATCGAAGCCAGTGTATCCGTTTGCCTCCAGGGCGGTGCAGAATCTCTGTGCAACTTGAATGATGATCTGAAACTTGGGAATCTCAGGCAGCGATGACGGTACTGCCGGGTTAAGCCATTGCCGGATCAACCGGGGTATGAGATCCGGCATCATGAAGCTGACCAGACTGTCGAGGAGCTCTGTTGGCACTCTTTGCGCGACGAAAACCGACACCGTCTCCAGGTCCGACAGCAACGCAGCCACAGACCCGTCACTGCTTCCGGTCAATTTGAGTTCATCGCCCTCGGCCGCAACAGATCGTGGAGATTGTTTGGTCTTGTCCATTCGGGGAGAAACAAGACATCCGTCCAGGTTCCGCCAGAGTTGTTCCATACGCTCGTCTGTCTCTTTATATGCCTTCAGACCGATGACGGCGTCTGACAAAGTCATGCCGCCCTCTACGATTGGTTAAATCAAAGGGAAAAAAAAATGATGAATATAAGATTGTCGTTTCACATACCAGGGAGGGTTTCCCGGACAGATACCTTTCCCTCCTCAACATCAAACCGAATCAAGTCTTTCCAGACATTGTCGAATACGTCGTGAATACTCAACTTGAGGTCCAGCGCTCGACGGTCCAGGCGTCGAAGTATCCTGCACGACTTGCTTAGGCCGATTTGGCCGATGGCAGTCCACGATTCTACACCCGTGTCAGTATCGCATCGACCAAGTCTCGGCTGAGGACGTGAACGCGGCAGACGATAAACGTACGTTCGAGAAGACGCAGGGAGTCGAGGACGCGTCGTTCGCTCCGCGCAGCATCAACCCGACCCAACAGCTGATTCACGGCTCTGATGTCTTCAAGGGCCCCGCGAAGCTGCTGGCTGTATTGGAGTTCACGGCTGAGGAAGCGAACCTTCTCCTCGGCATGCTCGATTGCCTCTCCCGACGCGTCGGGTCCCTCCGATTGTCGTATGATTTCGTTGGCCATGGTCTTGGATCGGATAATGTCCTCCTGCAGCGTCTTGGCGTTGTCCACCCATGAACTGACATCGTCTCTGGTTTCCTCGTTGATTGTGTGAATTTCGGTCTGCCAACGTGTTAGAGGATACATGCTGTGCCCGCGCGATGTGTGATGCGGACCTCGAGGTTGGCCTTGGCCGCGGTCAGAGCGCCAATGGCAGGCCCGAGATCCATCTCGGACAAGGGCAGCAGGGACGAATCATCTGCGGGGAACAGTCCTTCTAGAGAGAAGGCGACGATGGCATCGCCGAGCTGTTGCGACTCGGTGGCCGCCGCCGCCGCCGCCGCCATGGCCGACGGGGGACGGTCCGTGAGTGTCGTCTTGGTGCCCTGCCTTACTTGGGAGCCCGGCGCCACGAAGCCGATGGTTGAATGAAAGCGGAATGCAGCGACAAATGAGAAAATCAGTGACACTGTATCATGGTGATGGTGATCTTGGTGCGGCAAGAGGTTAAGGCGAAGGGTTGTATCGACGACGGGTCGGTGTTGTGCTGTGGCGTGGATTGGGCAAGCTGTCAAGCTCGGAACCCTGGCACATGTGATTGATTCTTGGGCAGGGTGCTCCGTACCGGGTAGCCTGCGCTGCCTGGACCCCACCCACCGTGCCACAGCGCGTCTTGATTGGCCCGGGGATTGCAGCACAATGGAGGGCAGCGAATCTCGTAAGCCATCTGCAGGCTGAAAATATCACCTGACGACTCATCTACACCCTCCTCGGTGTCGAGCTGGTTATAACCAACCCGTGGTAGAGGTCGACTGGCACTGGTCCGTCTGTTCTTCTCAAGGCTATGTAGTCCGCTCTGCTCCGTCCGTCTCGTTGTTTCTGCCTGCTCGAAGAGCGTCGGGGCCATGGCGGGGTAGCTCAAGTGTCGGGTCACGGACGCAAATCAAAACCCAACTTTGACAACCGGGCTCTTACATTATCAGCGTCCGAAAGGCTTCCTGCTTCCAAGCTCGGGCCTTCTCTTCCACGAAACGTCCATCCACTGCTGATATCCCGCGTGTCGAGTGGTAAGTTTGACCGGCCAGCGGCCCTGCTGGCTGCAAAGAGTCGATTCCCCGGCTCAGTCTCACCGACCGTGTTGTGGCCGGCTTCGATGCGCTCGAGTCTCATCTGCTTCAATGTTCCTGCCATCTCGCCCCTGACCCCCAGCCCAGCCATCCGTGGTCGCGGATCATTGTTGTCCTGGAAATACCTTCTCCGGCGCTAATTGTCGTACCCTTCCTTGCCTCTCCAACTTGTACATCCCGCCGGTCCCTTTCGAGTTGGCAGAACGACAAGTCCTCAGCTACCCTGGACATTGCTAGACAGGACGAACTTTGACTTTGCCGAAGCATCTACTAACACGCCGGGGTTCTTTCGTATAGTTGACATTTGGCCGAGTACATCACCATGACCATGCCGTCAACAATGCGGCAGTCCTTGTTCCGCAAGGTCCAGCGCTTCAAGACCGACTATGCTCCGTGCACAATCACTCAATATGTATCGGAGCGGAGCGGCATGCAGGTCGTCGTTGCCGATCGACAAGGCCCCAAGATCAACGGATACTTCACCTTGGCCACGGAGATCTGTGACGATTCTGGCGCGCCACACACTCTGGAGCATCTGGTGTTTATGGGTTCCAAGAACTACCAGTTCAAGGGCCTTTTGGACAAACTGTCCTCTCGCGCTTACTCGGGCACCAATGCTTGGACAGCAACAGACCATACAGCTTACACCCTGGAGACTGCAGGCTGGGAAGGGTTTGCGCAAGTTCTTCCCGTGTACTTGGAACACATAATCCTACCTACAATTACCGACGAAGCAATCGCCACCGAGGTCTGGCATATCGACGGCCAGGGTAATGATGCTGGTGTGGTTTACTCCGAGATGCAGGCTGTTCAATTCCGCAGCGCCGAGATCATGGACCTCAAGGCACGCCGCTTGCTCTACCCAGAAAATGTCGGCTTTCGCTACGAGACGGGCGGTATGACGGAAGCCCTGCGTGTTCTGACGCCTGAGCGCATTCGCCAATTCCACCGTGACATGTATCAGCCACGCAATCTGTGCCTTGTTATCGTGGGTGAGGCGGACCACGTCGACCTGTTGCAAATTTTGGACGACTTCGAGGAGAGTATCAAGGACGACATTCCGCCCTTGGACGCCAAGTTTAACAGGCAAGTGTACCGTGAAACCACGACCAAGAGATGGCAAGAGGGCTTCCCGCTAACCCACTGGGGTCTGCAGGCCTTGGCTTGATTCAGCCCAACCCCCTGCGCTGAAAGAATCCATTGTTACTACTGCTGAGTTTCCTGAAGAGGATGAATCCGTCGGCGAGATTCTTATTGGATTTTTCGGCCCCAACTGTGTCGATCTGATTGAAACTTCTGCGCTCAATATCTTGCTCACTTACCTGTGCGGCTCGTCCGTTTCCGTTCTCGAGAACGTCTTAGTCGAGAAGGAAGAGCTTGCCAGCTCTGTGACGCAATGGTGGGAGGCGCGGCCAAACTCCGTGATTTGGCTCCAGCCAACAGGTGTCGCGACGGAAAAGCTGGAGTTTGTGGAAAGACGACTGATGGAACTGCTGAAGGAAGTTGCTAGTAAGCCACTTGACATGGAGTATATGCTGGAATGCATAAAGCGCGAGAAGCGCCAGGTCAAATTCCATGCCGAAACCTCAGAGTCATTCTACGCGACAAACATCATCACTGACTACCTTTTTGGCAAGCGAGACGGCTCAACGCTTCAAGAACTTGCAACTCTGAGCGAGTACGATGTTCTCGAGAAGTGGACAGACCAGCAATGGCGAGCTTTTCTGAGCAAATGGATGTCCGACGCCCACCACGTTTCCATCCTCGGCAAACCGTCCCACGAACTAGCCAAGAAGATGAAGCTTGACGAGGAGGCCAGAATCGCCAAAAGAAAAGGGGAGCTCGGAGCAGAAGGGCTAGAAAAGCTCGCCAAGCGCCTTGAGGCTGCCAAGAAGAAGAATGACGAGCCCATCCCTGCCGAGGTCATTGATCGATGGAGTGTTCCCGGCACAGAATCGATCCATTTTATTGAGTCTGATACTGCACGATCTGGACGGGCCAAATCAATTGGCTTGGGTACTGGTCCGGCACAGGAGACCATTGACTCTGCAACAGATGGTAAACTGCCACTGTTTATCCAGTTCGAAGATGTGCCCACCAACTTTGTGCACATCACCATTCACCTGGGCACCTCGCAAGTGCCGTTTGAGCTGAAACCTCTCTTGTCCATATTTAGCGACAACTTCTTCAACACTCACATCTTGCGAGATGGCAAGCAAGTCGACTTTGAGCAAGTCGTGATGGAACTCGAGCGAGACAGCATCGGCTACAGCATTGGATCCTCTCGCTCGCTCGGCGACGTAGACGGCTACATGATTGGCTTCCAGGTCGAGCCCGATAAGTATTCTGCCGCAGTCCAGTGGCTGCGAACCATGATGTTTGACTCTGTCTTTGATCCCCAGCGCCTTGGGGCTGCCATCACCAAGGCCCTCGCTGATATTCCTGAGGCCAAGCGCGACGGTCGTGGGATGGCTGCAGAGATTGATGCGGCTGTCCACATGGACAAGACGTCCCTGGCCGTAGCCAGGCGTATTCTGGTCAAGGCAGTATATCTCAAGCGCCTCAAGAAGCTCCTCAAGAGTGAGCCGAAGAAGGTCATTGAGTGGTTTAACATCATCCGCAAGTCGCTATTTACATTCCAGAACATGCGCCTCCTCGTCACCGCAAACATATCCAAGCTCCAAAACCCGATCGCTGCGTGGAACACTCTCGCCGAGACTCTGACGGCCCAGGAGGACATGGTCCCGATTCCCAAGTTTGTAGACCTCCTCAATGAAGAAGGCCGCAAACCAGGATCTGTCGGCGCCATCATCGTGCCCATGACCACCCTCGATAGCTCGTATTCCGTGAGCACCGCGCCTAGCATCACCTCCCTCTCGGACCCCAAGTTTCCCGCCATCATGGTGGCAATCGGCTACCTCGAGACCGTCGAAGGACCCCTCTGGAACGCCGTCCGCGGGGCCGGGTACGCCTACGGCTCTTACTTCTCGCGCAACGTCGACTCAGGTCTCCTGTCCTACCGCGTCTATCGCTCCCCGGACGCATACAAGGCCATGTCCGCGTCCCGTGACGCCATCCACAAGATTGCCGTCGGCCAAGTCCCCATCGACAAGCACCTCCTCGAAGGAACCATTAGCCAAATCGTCGTCATGTTTGCCGACGAGCAAGCCACAATGCCGAGTGCCGCTCGGCAAAATTTCGTACGCAGCGTTGTCCGCGGCCTGCCCGAGGACTGGAGCAAAGACGTGCTCCGACGGGTGCGGGACGTCACCGTCGACGAGATGAAGCGTGCCATGCAAGAGTTTATCTTGCCTTGTTTTGAGCCGGGCAAGAGCAATGTGGTGGTTACTTGCGCCAAGCTGATGCTAGAGGTATGCAATTGCGACGTAACAGAAGACGAGTTGAGAAGATTTATGGGCTAACAGCATGGCAGAATATGGAAACCGCCTTCAGGGGCATGGGATACGAGGTACAGACACGGGAGCTGAGCTATTTTCATGATGATTACGGTCTGCAGGCCGATGAGGATGGAGAAGACGAGGAAGGGGAAGAGGACGAAAATGGAGAGGAAGAGGGCTCGGAAGGTTCATATGATGATGACGACGACGAATCGGGTCAAGATTAGAGCGGTACGGTCATCACCAATTGGGCGTAGATATTGCATTTAGGCTAGACTCACATACAATGCGCGACTGTAGAGCCCTTGGACGCCATGCCAAGTTTTTGCAAAATACCTGGGTAGCAAGAGACTGGATGCTTTTTTTCTTCCAACCAACTCTCTTACCCGACACGGGCATCCAAGTCTACTTCAAGACTACATACTTCGGAGATGATACATGTCCTGTCTGTCTAAACTCCGCGTCACGACATGTCCTCTGCTCATTCTCATTCAAGCCGTCGTCCTCATAGTTCGTCACGCCCAGTGACCGTTGCAACACCCTCTTTGTCCTTCTCACTGGTGAGCGCTTCCCGTGGCTTCCAGTCGAGCGCCTTGAGACGCTCGGACAGATGGGGATGTGAGAAATGATAACTGGCATACATCCAATCGGCATCCATGGTGCTCAGATTCTGGGCGTGCAGCTTGATTAGGGAAGAAGCCAGTTGCGAGCGGAAGCCCAGACCCTTCGCAAAGTCGTCTGCTTCGAATTCGAACTTGCGAGAAAGGATGTTGAGAAGCAGCTTGATGACGGTGTCCATGGGCGAAAGGGCGTCACTGAAAAGGATAAATCCGATGATGATGGGATGAGTGGTGTGGAAGCCAAAAGCGTTGTAGAGGGACACGTTGTTGATGAAGACGGAAAAGAGGGAGAAGACGTAGAGAAGGTGGGCCTGCACTTCGGGTCAGTGAATTGAATTGCTAGTGACGACCAAGGATGGATGCTCACCTGGGCGATGCCAAAGAGACGCGTGGTGTGGCCGAGTTTCCAGTGACCGAGTTCGTGGGCGAGGATGGCAATAATTTCATTGGTTTCCGTCTTTTCGATCAAGGTGTCGTAAATGACAATGTGCTTCTTCCAGGGCAGACCATAGAAATATGCATTCGAGTGCGCGCTTCGCTTGCTTCCATCAATGACAAAGAGCTCTTGCAGGGGGAACTTGTGAGTGGCAGCTAGGTCCTCAACCTTGGTCTTGAGCTCGCCTCCCTCGAGAGGAGACAACTTGTTGAACAGAGGTTGAATAAAGATCGGGTAGGCAGTCGTGGTGAACAGCTGCAAGCCGGCAGAAAAGACCCAGAGATAAAACACAAACTGGTTGCCCGTCTTCTGGATGATCTTCAAAAAGGCGGCCAGAATGGGGGGCACGAGGGCAACTGTCAATAGATTCGTCTTGATCATGTCGGTAATGAACAGCTTGGGTGTCTGCTTGTTGAAACCAAACTTCTCCTCCAGCACAAAGGTGCTGTACACGCGCGTGGGGAGTGAAAGGAACTGTTGGATGATGACGAAGGTGAGAACGAAGAGAATAGAGTGGCTGATTTCGCCCGTGAATCTAGAGGGAGCCCATTTGAGGAGCACGTTGCCCGTCCAAGACCACAACTTTGGAAGAACATCGAACTGAATGAACGCAACGTTCTGGACCTGGGCCCAGAGGCCGGAGATGATGTCGAATTGAGCTTTGGCGCGGCCGTACGCTTGAGACTTGTCAAAAGTTTCCTGCGATATTTCCTTGGAGAGGACGGCGGGGGGCTTGGTTTGTTGCAGAATACGATATTGACGGAGGGTGAGGAAGGACTCAAAGATGTATTGACCGACAGAGAAACCGAGGATGAGTTTCTTCCAAGGGAAGAGAGGGCGGTCGAGATATCGCGCGAGGCGCTGCGATGGATTATGAGGTTAGCGAGTCGCGTTCGCGATTGCGTCATGAGACTGAAAGCTTGGAGGAGCGGGTTGAGATGCGGTTGGCTTGAGTGCCCTCAGTTGCGGTATCAGTTGATGAGCCTACCTGAAGAAAATCCATTTTTGGCGACGACAGCTACAAGCAAATCGTAGCAGCCTCGACGATCCAGTGGATTGATGGGAAGGAGGGAGGGTGAGAGAAAAGAAAAGGGAAGAAAGGCAGAGTGAGCGATCAACGTGTTGGTTGTGTGCTGTGTGTGAGGAAGCGGAGCTGAAACTGACCAGGTGTCCTGTCCTGTCTTATCGATTTGGCCCCCTCAGTTTTGGCTGCGCAGCAGTGAACGTGCAAGTTCAAGTTCCTGCGTGCCTTTGGGTGTGAGCAGGCACAGAGCACATCAACTGGTGTTTCAATGTCACATTTTGCCCGGCAAACAAGGCGAGACCTATGGTCATGATAGTGCACACATACTCCGTCCGGAGTGCGGAAATCGCCTTTTTCCATTCTGCGAATAATATTGAGCAAATTATGCAAGACAGCGTCGTGCGGGTGAGATGCACTCAAAATGGATACAGAGTACTGTGGTGAGAATGTCCGATGCGGTGGGAACCTCGTGGGAACCTCCTCCACCATCTGGCCGCGGCGGGCGTTGGACTCGACGTGGAATGAGTTCGTCTGTGCCCTTATTTACGTGAACATACAATGGCACAGTGCTGTCAGACCACGAAGCCAAGCACGGCACAAGACGTAATCTACCTGCGTCGTCTCCCTGCACCTTTTTAATTCGTCCCAAAGACGACTCTGTACTCTTGCGGTGACACCTGCGCAACGCTCACCTTGGGGATCTCCAACGGCATCTTGACTGCTAAATGGAACGCCACGGCAATATTGAGCACTCTCGGGGTCTCCTTGGCGCGGTTCATTTGCGCAGAGATACGACGCGGAGCCCCGGACATCGGCATGGCAGCAAGATGCGGATTGCCAATCGCTGGTGCTCGAAGCATCCCCAACAAGCCATCCTAATGTCCGTTGGTAGCTGCAGTTGCTTGTTGCTGATTTGGTGGCCGTTCTGGCCCGTACGGCACTGGCGCAGGCTGTTTCTGCACAGGCTGAGGCTCTTCCTCAGTATCGTCGTCGAGCTCGCTCAGTTCCTCATCCTCGCCTTCGTTTGAATAATCGCTCTCGTCGTCGCCCTCAACTCCACCTGGGTTGTCCGAATAAACGCTTTCCATGACGCTGGCTAGTCCAGGAGGGCCCTTTCGTCCCTGATGCTGCATCTGCTGTATGATGCTCATGAGTTTATCCACCTTTTTCTCGGCAGAGTCCACTTGCTTCTTCCACCCTTGACGTTCTTCGGCCATGCGGATGATATTGGCAGCCGTTGCATCTTTCTGTCTCTTGAGCGCCTCGTTCTCTTTCTCCAGCCGCTTGCCCTTCTTGGACATGTCTTCCATTTCTTTTCGGAAGGATAGGAATAAGTCATTGCTATTGTTCAGCGTATCTTCAACCTTCTTCTGTGGTTAGTCAGTTTTATGAGCGGACGTAAATGAGAATAGTGTACCTGTTTGAATTTTTCGACATAGATATTCAACTGTTTTCGAAGTTCCGTCTCCGTCTTCGTAAAAGCTTGAACTTGGGCTTGCAGATGGCGCGCTTTGCTCGCCTCGGCCTCTCCATTTTTCTTCTCCCGTTCATATCGCGATTGATGATATTGAACCTCGATCTCTTTTGTCCGCATAAGTGAATGGAAATGCAGCTCACGCAGCTCATATTGTTCGATGAAAGACTTGAACCTGACACGAAAGCTGCAACGACACGATATTAATACCGGGCTACCCAAGGGTCAGAAACCTCACCTATACGATGTACTCACAGTTCATCTACTTCCATGTCCACTACCTGTTTTCGCGGGGTGTCTTTCTCTTCCTGGTAGCCTTCCAATTTCGATAAAAGAGTGGCGTATTTCTCATCCCAAGAAATGTTATTCCGCTTCTGCGTGGTTTGGAGTTCTTTGTTCTCATTCTATTCCAAGCCTTGCATTAGTGTACTGTCTCCATTCGATCCTGGTCCGCGATGGGCTGGTCATGATCTAACCTTCATCTTGTTATTGTCTCGCTGTAGCTCACGACACAGCTTTTCAAGCTTCTCCTTTAACCCCACAGTCTTGCCAAGTTCGGTTCGGCTAGTATCTCGCTCCTTTTGAAGGGTATCGCCTCGCTTCTTGTTCCTTTGGTTCTCCTTTTCGAGACGTCGCATATCAGCCAGGAGTTCACTGGAGCGTTTCGTCAGGTGGTCAATCTTCTGCATATCGTCCATTTTAGCGACCTGCTGCATCAAATCCCGATTGGCTCTTTTGACTTCTCGCTCTGGATGGACAGAGGGCACTGGTTAGCATTGAGAGATACAATAGCCTTGAAGAAGGGGCCACATGAGACTGGAGGCGCGCAAGGGTTCGTTAGAACTTACCAATTTCGAGTTCTTGGTCCTTCTCTCCAGCTGCATCCTGCTCCAGCTGAGAGATACGGGCCTGAAGCAAACGTGATGCTTCTGACGAGTCGATGGCCTTCTTTCCCTTCCCCTTCCTCCCTGGTATAGGCGCAGAATGGACGTGGCCATCGTGACCATTAGTCAATGCTGGTTCTACCTGACCCGAAGGCATGACGTTTGAGGTGTACTGAGGCCTTTTGTATGGTCACGGGTGCAAGAATATTTCAAGATTTGCGCAACATGGAGGCCATAAATTGTGTTCGAGAAAGGATGATGACCCGTGGAGTTGGCGTCGACGTTTCGCCCGGTCGCGTAGGCTAGCAATGAATATGCGACGAGGCGAAACAATCGGTTCGTTATGGTTCGGATCAGTCCGTGGAGTTGGTCGGAACTCAAGGCCGGTAACCTGAATGGCCGCGTTAGCAACCTTTGCGGTGATGTGATGTGAGCAGGTGCTCTGCCCCTGCATGCATGCAGCCCAATCAAGCTGTGCAAACAAGCGAGTTTGGAGCTTTACTGAGCATGATCGATTACTAACAGACTCAGAGACTTGCGCTTCCGAGGAAGATCAGACTTGGGCAAGGTGAGTGAGCAGCGGTCTTCGCACGGATGATGATGAAGTCTATTGTCTATTGCGTGGGCTTCTGGGTGCAGTTTTTACTGAAGCCGAAGAAAAGGCATCGAGGTATGCCGTTAGTACATTAGGGGAACGTCGCCTGCAGACTTGCGAGGTTTGTTAGCGCACTATCAGGCAATGCATTGGATAAACACTGCCCCAACACTCATGTCAGGCCATCATTCGCTGGCAATCAGCCTGAGCTCCACTGAAGTTCCGCCGAAGCCGTCATTACGGAGTACCTTGGAGGATATCCACACATGTGCAGTTACTGGTAGGTTGTATTACGTGACCGACATGACTAAGTATCACAAGCCCCTGGAATTTTTAGCTTGCATTTTGGATGCAAACTTAACACACTCGAGCATCGTCTTCGCCAACGCTGGCCGAGCATTCCAGCCTTGCCATTGCCATTCTTTACCCTGGTGCGACCCACACGATTTATTCTAGATGCCGCGGATGTGTTTGGGTATTTGAGCGACATTTTCTGTTGTATAGTATTGTACTATTATAGCTATTCGCTCGTATTCATACAGCTCTTCGCAGACTCTAGTCATCATGCTTCGAAATGCTGCCCATGCAGCTCGCAGAACTGTTACAGAGCTTTCGCAATACCCGAAGCCAGGCGACAAGCTTCATGGCTTCACCCTGATACGATCTAAACATGTCCCTGAACTGGAACTGACGGCACTGCATTTGCAACACGATAAGACCGGTGCCGACTACCTCCACATTGCTAGAGAAGACAGCAACAATGTCTTCTCCATCGGTTTCAAGACGAACCCTCCCGATGACACCGGCGTTCCGCATATCTTGGAGCACACGACTTTATGCGGAAGCAAGAAATATCCCATCCGCGATCCATTCTTCAAGATGCTACCCCGAACCCTTTCCAACTTCATGAACGCCTTTACAGCCTCTGATCACACCTTTTACCCGTTTGCGACCACAAATGCCCAGGATTTCAAGAATCTCATGTCTGTCTATCTAGATTCAACCCTGCATCCACTGCTCAAGGAGTCTGACTTCGCCCAAGAGGGATGGAGAATTGGGCCCGAGAATCCTCTCGGAGAGACCGATGAGAGCAAGAAGCTGGTGTTCAAGGGTGTGGTGTACAATGAGATGAAGGGTCAGATGTCGGATGCTGGGTATCTTTACTATATCCGCTTCCAAGATCACATCTTTCCGGACATCAACAACTCAGGCGGCGACCCTCTAAAGATTACCGATTTGACTTACGATCAGCTCAGGAGTTTTCACGCCGACCACTACCACCCCAGCAACTCCAAGTTGTTTACCTACGGTGACATGCCCTTGAACGACCATTTACGAGAAGTGAACGCGAGATTGAAGGTGTTCAATAAGAAGGAAATCGACGAAACGGTCCACCAGCCGATCGAACTCGATGGCACCCGCGAAGTGACACTCAGAGGCCCCATGGACCCTCTTGTCGACCCTGATCGTCAATACAAGAGCTCAGTGTCATGGATCAGCGGAGATACCGCTGATGTCGTCGAGTCTTTCTCGATCGCATTGCTCTCTACCCTGTTAATGGATGGTTATGGCTCGCCCCTTTATCGCGGTCTCATTGAGACGGGGATAGGGACTGACTGGAGCCCCAATGCCGGATACGATAGCTCTGCCAAGCGCGGAATCTTCTCAATTGGCCTTACTGGGGTTCAAGAACTTGACGTTCCCAGGCTAAAGGAAACCGTTCAAGGGATACTGAAAAAGGCTCGTGACAACGGCTTCGACAAGACCAAGATTGATGGCGCCTTGCACCAACTGGAGCTGTCCTTGAAGCACAAGACTGCCAACTTTGGATTCTCTATGCTCAACAGACTGAAACCAAAGTGGTTCAACGGAACTGACCCCTTTAGGTCTCTCGCTTGGAACGATACCATTTCAGCGTTTCAGGCGAAGCTGGCTAAAGGCGGCTATCTCGAGGGCCTCGTTGATAAGTACCTGCTCAACGACAATACTATGATATTCACCATGGCTCCATCTACCGCCTTTGGAGAAGAAGTTGCAACGGAAGAGCAACAGCGCCTTTCATCTAGGATTGCCGATGCCATTCAGACCGCCGGAGGAGAGGAGGAGGCTCGAAAGAAGTTTGAGCAGCAAGAACAGGAGCTTCTTGTTGAGCAAAACAAAACCAATAGTGAAGATCTCAGCTGCCTGCCGACTGTCCATGTCAAAGATATCCCAAGAACGAAAGAGCCTGTGCATGTGCACGACGAGGTACAAAATGGCACGGCCATTCAATGGCACGAGGCACCCACGAATGGTTTGACTTATTTCCGTGCCATCAATACCCTGGAAAACTTGCCCGACGATCTCCGGGAGCTTGTTCCTCTCTTCACAGATAGCATTATGCGTCTTGGAACCAAGGATATGACCATGGAGCAGCTCGAGGACCTCATCAAGCTGACCACTGGAGGAGTCTCTGTCGGATACCATTCCACCCCTTCACCTTCCAACTGTCATGCATCTAGCGAAGGGATCATTTTTACTGGCATGGCTTTGGATAGAAATGTCCCCGTCATGTTCAATATCCTGCACAAGCTGGTCGTCGAGACGGACTTTGATGGTCCTGAAGCAGCTCTCCGTATTCGACAGCTACTCCAAGCCTCCGCAGACGGTATTGTCAACGATATTGCTTCATCGGGCCACCGCTTTGCCGTGGGCTATGCTGAGTCGAGCATCACACGGAGTGCATGGTTACGCGAACAAGTCGCCGGACTGTCCCAAGTGAGACTGGTAACCCGGCTAGCTGGCCGCCCAGAATCTGACAAGTTTGAAGACGTTATCGACAAATTGAAGCAAATCCAACAATTTGCACTCTCAAGCAATAACATGCGAACTGCAATCACCTGCGGCTCAGAGAGCGTAACGCAAAACTCCAATTCGCTCCAGTCCTTTATGAAGATTCTCCCTCGAGGTGTTTCGGATTCAAAGAACCTAAAGCCGCGGCGCCTCCCTACAGACTGCAAGACTTTCTTTCCCCTCCCTTATCAAGTGTACTATGGAGGCTTGTCTGTACCGACTGTGGCCTATACCGCGCCCGATGGTGCACCGCTTCAAATACTCTCGCAGCTCCTCACCCACAAGTATCTGCACCACGAGATTCGCGAAAAGGGAGGCGCATACGGCGGAGGGGCCATGCACAAGCCGCTCGATGGTCTATTCGGCTTCTACTCTTACCGTGACCCTAATCCCCAAAACACAATTAAGATTATGCGAAATGCAGGCAGGTGGGCTGTCAGTAGAGAATGGTCAGATCGTGATCTGGAGGAGGCCAAGATTTCAGTCTTCCAGGCTGTTGATGCCCCCAAGGCTGTCAACCAAGAGGGTATGGGCAAATTTCTCTCCGGCATCACCGAGGATATGCGACAAAAAAAGAGACATGAGCTTCTCGACGTGTCAAAGGACCACGTGAAGCAAGTTGCGCAGAAATACCTCGTAGACGCAATAAAAAAGGGCGAGGAACGCATGGCTTTCCTCGGCGAGCGTCAGCCATGGGTAGACGAATCGTGGAAGACGCAGGAGATGAATGTTGCAGCTGGCGAATGATTTTGCAACACGCAAGGTCCGAGCCGGGACGAGGCACGAGCATGCATTGAACATCTCTCGCAGCATTGGTTGCCACGGAAGCACTGCTAGTGCCCGATGCTACGATCCGTGGATTTCTACAAGATGACGATTGGCCAAGCACGTCATCGCCCTGATATCACGGCAAAATTGTACCATTATTCCCCCACATATACACACCTGCATGCGTACGGAAAAGACGCAACGCACAAGACGATAGATGGGAGATGTCGCAAATCTGTAATATACCTAGACGAAACTAAATTTGCTTTCCCAGGCTGCCTTGACCGACATTGACATGCCAGCAATCGCGTTCAGATACGATACATCCATCTGCCGAAGGAACATCTTTCACAATGACAGATGGATCACAGAGCAACGCAAGAATAAAAAGACGTGCTGTTCCATAATTCATACCTGCTCACGCTTGAAGGGTCTGCCGTTCCATTTACCTTCAGAACGAGGCGACCGCGGCGCCCACGGGCATCAGGTGTCTCGTTCAGCAAGGGGGATCGGTGGTTCGGAGAGGGAGAGATTGGGGGGATTCGGGACAGGGTTTGCTCGTTCTATCAGAGCCGGCGCCCTTGAGACTTGGGTTGCCGGACTAAAGAACCGAGTACATTTGCTGTGGTGGGACATGGCTGCGTGCGTAGTCTTAGTAGACGTTTGCACCAGACTCTCGCCGAGGTAAATAATTTGCCGTGAGCTGTAGCTTTTATTCGTCTGCAGGCTCATAGCATGCGGTCGGTGTGTAAGTTTCATCCATAGAACTGTACACGCGAGTCGGCAGTCATCAGGCAAGTGGTTGCAACATAGTAGTTATTCGGGACCCGGAAATGCGGGAACAAGGTGAGGCGAACGGGCCAAGCGACGAGACAATGCCGTGGTGTCAAGAGGTTTGAAACCGGTGACGATCACTCGGCCGAGTCCCGAGATGGTGTGAGCAAGGACCGCCATGGCTCTCACTGACGAATGTGAACCTGGGGGCTACACTTGAGGTGGCAGGCACCAAGCACCCAGTTACAGGAGTTTCTATGTATAGCGCAAGCCCTGGACTACCAATACCAAGCATGACGTGGACAGATGGATTCACGCATGTGCTTGCGCGCGGGCAATGCCACTCGACGACGTCCGTGGCAACAAGGCCCAGTTCCAAACTTACGCTACAGGCTACAGCCTCACGGCAACACATGTTGACGGGGAAATCACGGCTCAATGTGGTGATGTGGTGTAAGCTGGCGCGAGTGATGCGAGATTGAGTCTGTACTGTACGCCTTGGTCTCACGGATGCAGATTTGGTCTCGCTTGAAGACTTGTCCGAGGTGCCAGCCAGCGGGATGCGAGAATTCCCCGGCTGCGGCTAGCGGTCCGTGAACAAAGGAAGGCGACAAGGGGACTCAGCCACCTGCAACTTGGAACAGAGACGAACAAGGCAACGTTAACGTCTCGCGGACTTGGACCGGCACTGAATCCGAGCTGTGCCTTGTCCCAAAAACCTTGTCTTGTTGACTGACGCACGCGAGCCCAAGCGCCCGGCACGCACAGCCGATGCCCTCAACATCAAACTCATGCAGGTGATCAGGACTCAGGACAGCCTCGTGTGGTCTGCATGCATTAACTAGTCGGTGCCTGGGGAGTACGTATTTGTGCCCAACAGCGGATCCTGGACGGCGAAATCTCCACGCAAAGGGGTGTGCAAAGGAGTCTGGACGTAGACTGTAGTTGCGTTGTGTACTCTGGATTTGCCGGCATTGTTTGGGCCCAGGCTGTGCGTACCGTGTGTATGCGTGTTTCGAGCCCGCTGGTAGGGTAAGGAAGGAGTCTTTGTTTCCCCTGTGCATTATTCACTCATCCGTGATGACACCGTCAGACGACCGATTCACCTTCCGGCAGGGGAGCCGAACTGGGGCTGGAGCTAACTGGTGGCCGGATGGCCTGTCGGTGGGTTTGCAGAAACGCGACTGGCGATCGATCAAGACCCAGGACTCGGGAGGAAAAAAAACTGGGCCAACGTCGAGAAGTCGAGAGAGGGGTGAGCGAAGACGAGGAGCGAAAATTTCAGCGGGCGCAGCAGACATTGACTGACTCGTGGCCGACAGCCATCGACTTGTGCCGGCGCGAGGAGCCTACTTTTGCTACCCGTGTGGCGGCCCGCACACGTCTTGGTCTTGGTCTGGTCTTCTGGTCTGGTGTGCTCGGGCCAGAATAAAAATCTGGCCGGCCGCCCCTCCGATGTAAACCCTCATGTGCACACAACACAACATCAAGGATTCCACAAACCGACCGCAGCTCCCAAAGCGAGGCCCTTTCCCTCAACTGCCCGCTTTTCTGATCGTCCATCGCACCGCTACCGCTCCAAGGTCAGTCAGTCCAGCTATGGCCGCTTCTCCAGTCTCAACCAGTCCCTACCGTCACCCCCAATCGGCCGTGCCACGGCACACCTCTCCCGAGGGGCAAACCCGCCCATCGGCCATCCGTCAAGGTGTTCTGGGAAAAGGCTGAGTGCTGACAGACAGTTGCGTTCGTGATAGATCCTAACCCGGTCCAACACTGCGCCTCTCGACCCGCCTTTGGTCTCTTCAAAGGCAACCGGCTTCGCCACGGCTCCCCAGGCCGTTGCATTTGTCAGTGACCAAGATTTCAGTCTCCGAAAGACTGCCCACATCATCAACGCTATTCCGCCTCCCTACACCAGTGCTGAAGGCTCCTGAGCTCCTCGAAGCTTTCCTGTTGTTCGGCGAACCGGTGTTCCAGCCCCCCACCACATCATCTTCAAAATCGTACCAGCTGCCGCATAGGAGGATCCCTGAGGTTCTTCCTCTTTCCGAGGAAGAGTCGAGGAGGCCTCGTCAATCCACTGAAGGAACAGTTTGCTATCCGTTCCGACCCCCCTAACACCACCCTAGCTCACTTGGTGAGCTGGAGCCTGATCTACATCGACTACATATCCTAGCCATCCCCGTCAACTCTTCTCGACGGCCTTCCCCCTTGAAGTTCTTTGAGTACTTGTTGTCGTTGTCCGGTCTCAAGCCACCTCGTCAAGTCCAGTCAACAGATAGGCAGACGAGACAACATACTCCCCCGGCGACAGACAACGTCTCCTTGAACGACTTACCCCCCGGGATAGGGATATGGTTATGGCAACGGCTATCCTTGACAACCATCAACATGTTACTCATAATAATCATATGCTGATGAGGAAGCCGCTTTTGACGGACTACCTTCACAACAATGTCTCTGTTGATCCAAAGAAGCTAATTGGCGAGGCCCTTCACAATCGCGCCGAGTCGGTTGATCATGAAGACTGCGAACCTGGCGATGAGGATACCTTCTTTGTCGCCGACCTTGGCGAGGTCTATCGACAGCATCTCCGGTGGAAGAAGAATCTGCCTCGAGTCAAACCGTTCTATGGTGAGTTGCATTGGTTCATTTCACGTGTCCACCTGCAGGCATCTCCAGTACCTAACATTGTCTAGCCGTCAAGTGCAACCCGGACCCCCAGGTGCTCCGTCTTTTGGCCGAGCTCGGAACTGGGTTTGACTGCGCCTCCAAGGGCGAGATCGAGCAGGTGCTGGCCATGGGAATCACTCCCGAGCGCATCATATATGCCCAGCCATGCAAGACGAACTCGTACGTGCGCTTCGTTAAGAATGCTGGCGTCAAGCAGATGACCTTTGACAACGCCGACGAACTGTACAAGATTGCGAAGCTCTACCCCGAAGCTGAGCTCTTTCTGCGCATAATGACCGACGATGCGTCCAGCCTTTGTCGCCTGAGCATGAAGTTCGGCGCCGCCATGGATACCACAGAAGGCCTGCTGGCTGTGGCCAAAAACCTAGGGCTTAAAGTGGCTGGCGTTAGCTTCCACGTTGGGTCTGGTGCTTCCGATCCCCTTGCTTTCTATAAAGCTGTTCGGGATGCCCACACCGTGTTCCAGCAGGCTGCCGAGCTTGGCTTTGCCATGCGCACCCTCGACGTGGGCGGTGGATTCTGTGGAGATACCTTTGAGCAGATGTCAGGTGCTCTTCGAGACGCCTTGAATGAGTTTTTCCCTGCAGGTAACGGTATCGACATCATCGCCGAGCCAGGCCGCTACTACGTTTCCTCGGCCTTCACCATTGCCTGCAACATCATTGCTCGCCGCACCGTCGAGGATCCTACTCTTGATGGCAAGGGCTACATGATCTACGTCAACGACGGTGTCTATGGCAACTTCTCCAGCATCATGTTTGATCACCAACATCCGGTAGCTAAGATCCTCCGATCGAATGGACGCACTCTCTACCATACGGCGCCTGCCAACGCCTGCAACGCTGGCGAGGGAGCCGAATACTCGATCTGGGGCCCCACCTGTGATGGTATTGACCGCATCACCGAGAGCATCCGTTTCGAGACTATCCTCAATGTTGGCGACTGGCTTTACTTTGAGGATATGGGCGCGTACACCAAGTGCTCGGCCACCAAATTCAACGGATTCTCCAACTCTCATGATGTCATTTATGTGTGCAGCGAACCTGGAGCCCAGTTTTTGCTGAACATGTAGGAAAGTTCGTCCTGCCACTGCCGCCTATGGCAGCATTGTGTGCGCAAGAGAATTACTTGTTTTTCGACCTCGTATTTGAGCAAAAGAGGGAGTGGAAAAGAATTAAATAGAGTTGAGGAGTAATTTTGAGAAGAAAGGGTCATGTAGAGAGACGTCGAGAACATGTTCAGCTTTTACGTACATGAATATTGATTGCTTCAGAGAATTGTTGGGTCATGCTGTGATTGCCTGTCAATGCAAGAAGCTGTCCTGAAACTGAGCTAGTGGCATGCTTAGTAAGTAGAGTGAGAAACTCCAATGTGATGCCCCGCCACCCTTTTTTTCCACTTTTGGTGGCGTTTTTTATTGGGCCAGGCATTCACCGCCGAGCCAGAATATCGACATGACGATCAGTACTCCGTACACTGTAAACTTGGGGGTTCCGTATGTGCTATCGTAAACTGTGCCTGTATTTTTCGCTCTTTGCATTGGCTTGGAAATAGTATTCTAAGTACCCGCAAGTCTAAGTGGAGGTAATCGTCTGGTAGTTCCTTGGATGCCTCAGGCCGAAAGTTAGGTGCTGGGCGGCGGGAGGTGTTGCCTGCTGCCATTCCACCCTCCGCTGCCACGTCGAGGAGGTGCTTTGGTGGGGAAAAAAAAAAAAAAAAAAAAAAAAAAAAGGGTATTGCCCCTCCAAAGCGCTTCCGTAGAAAAACAACATCCCCTCTTTCGAAGCTTCGCCTCTCCCCATACATCCACCAATCTCCCACCCAACCACGTCAAGAACCTCCTCACCTTTCACGTCGTCGATATCTACATCAAGTACAATGGGCTTCACCGATTTTCTCAGTGATGCTGGCTTGACCCGTGAGTTCTCCCCTTGAGTCAAAGGAGCATTAGCACGCTGCGATTGTTTTTATTTTTTATTATTTTTTTCGCGCATTTGCGGCGGGCTGGTGAAGAAAAACCCCCGCCCCCGCCGTTCTACCTCTGCGATCACGAAATTTTCGTTTCATGGCAGCGACTTTAGTAGACGGTGGCAACGGCTTTACTAACTGCTTGGGCGATCCCCAGTCTTGAACAACTGGGTCCAGACCCGTTCCTATATTGCTGGGTACGTTGTGACCTTTTCTTTTGGCTCCTTTTCGTGTTGCGTGTTTGCGCTTGCTCTAGAACCCGGTGCCGAACGGTGGTGATGAAGAGACACGTTTCGCGCAGGAACGTGATGTCGCTTGTCTCACCTCTCCGATTGCTGCAATTCTTGGGCAATCCTGCCCATGCCATGTGATTCTACATCGGCGAAATTTGGTTTCTCTTCAGTGGCAATTTCAAGGTCTCGGCGATTGCTCTTGGTGCAGACTTTCGAAGAAGTCAAGGCGGCATCGTGGGACAAACCTGCTACTGCACGTCTCGTTTATTCGCATCTCATCGTTTGGGCGACCACAGACCTTTGCTGCTGCACAGTTTAGACTCACCTGTGTCCTTTCTGCATAGCTACTCTGCCACTCAGGCTGATGTCGCCTGCTTCAAGGCCTTGAAGGAGGCTCCCGACGCCAAGAAGTTCCCCCACGCGGCCCGCTGGTACAAGCACATTGCCACCTTCGAGGATGAGTTCGCTTCTCTGTCCGGCGATGCCAGCAAGCCCTACACCGTCTACGGCCCCGAAGCCGCCGAAGTTACCCTAAACCCGTCCAAGGCCCCCGCTGCCGCTGACGATGACGACGACGTCGATCTATTTGGCTCTGATGAGGAGGATGATGCTGAGGCCGAGCGTGTTCGCGAGGAGCGTCTGGCCGAATACCGCAAGAAGAAGGAAGCTAAGCCCAAGACCATTGCCAAGTCGGTCGTAACTCTTGACGTCAAGCCTTGGGGTACGTTTCCTTACCATGTACATGATCTTAAAGTCATCCGTCACTGTCTCGATCACGCGCCGTAACGGCTTGATTTGGTTGCGGGTAGAATGACATTGCTATGTCAGACGCTTGAAAGACACGCTAACACGGCAAATCATAGACGATGAGACTGACATGGTCGGCCTTGAGTCTTCCGTCCGTGGCATCGAAAAGGATGGTCTGGTCTGGGGTGCCTCCAAGTTGATTCCCGTTGGTTTTGGTATCAAGAAGCTGCAGATCAACTTGGTCGTCGAGGATGAGAAGATCTCTCTGGATGAACTCCAGGAGGAGATTCAGGAGTTCGAGGACTACGTCCAGTCCACCGATGTCGCCGCGATGCAGAAGCTCTAAGTGCGTTGGCTGCCGTGACAAAACTCGCATTTGACTTGCAGCTGAACACCACCGAGCGATGACAAATCAGCACCATTGCCACGGTACGGACTTCCGCGTTGTCTCTCGTGTGGGACATTGGTCGTGAACCCCATTGCCACGGCGTTGTTAGTCACAATGTTGGTTAATGGGATGTGTGGAAGGGCTTTCAACTGCAGTGAATGTACCGCAGCGGTCTGTCTATGACGAAGATTCAAGAAAAAAGAAAAAAAGAGCAACACGTCAAATGTGAAGATGGAAAACATGGGCCTGATGAATGGGATTTGTTTTCTGAGAGAGGATGGTAACGACACTGCTCGGGTGCGGAACAAGTTGTTTTAATTATAGACAAAACTTGTGGAAAAATGGAAGTATCGTTTCCTGTGCAGCGAATGACTTTGCAGAGTTTTTTGTGTGCGTGAACGGTTGAAGTATGCTTCCCTGGATTGCGGTGCTCTTCGCAAGTAACAGTTTGTTGATTGAGTTGGCATTCCCTCTGACTCTTGTTGAAGCCACTCTCAACTTTGTGACGACGAGCTCGAAGCGGATCAAGCTTGCCTCGACGTTGCCGCACATGAATGAGTCTTCGTGTATCCCGCCACGAGGCCATCAGCTACGCCCCCTCTATTTGCCCCCTCTCCGTGTCTTTTTTCCCTCCTTCCCCCCTCTTATTCTTTATAATCTTGTTTTTGTAAAACTCCTGCCCTTGTCATGGTTTTCTTTTTGAACGGCCCGACTTGAACTCGACGCTCCCCCGCGCCGCCAGCAAGTCACGTGACGCCAGCACCCTCGGCACTTTTTTTCTCTTTCGACACCGCAGACGCCAGCCGTCTGTAGAGCGCAACGCGCCCATAACTCGACCTCATTCCCAGCCACTACAGCGCCGGGAAAAAGAAATAAAAAAGTTTGTGTCACAGAGAGAGAGAGAGAGAGAGAGAGCGGGAGGGAGAGAAAGAAAGAAAGAAAAAAAATGTCCGGCGCGCAAGAGTCCCCATGCCGCATCCTCGTCATGGCCTCCGGCTTCGGCTCCAACTTCCAGGCGCTCATCGACGCCGTCGCCGCGGGACGCATCCGGAACAGCCACATCGTCCGTCTCGTCACGAACCGGAGAGGCGCGCGCGCAACCGCGCGGGCAGACGACGCAGGCGAGATCCAGCCCCCCCCGTGTCCACGCCGCACACGCGGGCTAACGCGGCACCAGGCATTCCTTGGGACTACTTCAACCTCATCAGCCACGGGTTCCTGACCAAGGGGGACAAGGACGAGGGGAGAGTCGCGGAGGCGCGGCGGAGGTACGACGCCGCGCTGGCGGAGAGGGTGCTGGCGGCCGAGCCGCGGCCGGAGCTGGTCGTGCTCGCTGGCTGGATGCACGTCTTCTCGGGGGCGTTTCTGAGGCCCGTCAGGGACGCGGGCGTCAAGCTCATCAACCTCCATCCCGCGCTGAGAGGTGAGTTGCGGCGGCTGGCTGGCGCTGGGGGGGGCGTGTCTGTTTTGCTGACTGCTCGGATAGGGGAGTTTGACGGGGCCAATGCCGTCGAGCGGGCTTTCGAGGCGCTCAAGGCTGGGCAGATCACGCGCACGGGCATCATGGTCCACGAGGTCGTTGAGGAGGTAGATCGGGGGCCGCTTGTCATGGACGAGGAGATTGAGTGGAGGGGCGAGGATCTGGACGCGCTGAAGGAGAGGATCCATGCCCGTGAGCATGAGCTCATTGTCAAGGCAACGGCCAAGGTGGTCGACGAGATATTAGAGAAGAGGGAACAGTGAGCCTGGACCGACGTCAAGACCCCCTCGAGCTGTGAGTACATGTGATTCCGCACTAATTTGCGTCAAGTCTGATTGAGCCCCGTGCAATCGTAACGTCGTCTAGCATGCTTGCCTGGTAGTTAACTATTATGCACTGCCTCCGGGGCGAAGGGGGTGCGGCTGGTTTGGCTCAAGAGAGAGCTACTGGCGCGGTTGGAAAACGACTGCTACATCTGCAGTCATTCCGGTCGCACAGAGGTTGCGGGAGCATTCCCTTGTGACTACCAAACCCTGGCAGTGGCCCAGGTCCGTATTTGACTCACTGTATGAATAAGAATACATCAAAGCCGCAACTCCTCGCTCATAGGCCAAAATGCCTCCAATGCCATACATGCAAAAAGTCATCTTGCATAATAGACCTCCCCACCACGTCCCGTGCCACTTAGGTGCCTCTGAACAAAAACTGCATGTCTTCCGGACTAAGACTCTCCATGGCCTTGTCGTCTGCATTCACAGTCGAGTGAATCATATTTGTCTTTTTCTCCTGGATTAAAACCATACGGCTCTCTACCGAATCTTCGATACAAAGACGTGTGATGGTGCAAGGGCGGGTTTGGCCAATGCGGTGGCACCGATCTGCGGACTGCCACTCTGCGGCTGGATTCCACCACCTAGATGTGTGTAAGCCAGTCATCAAATATTGATAGGATGGAAGTTGGACTTACGGATCAACAATAAAGACTCTCGATGCTTCTGTGAGATTTAGCGCTACACCTCCTGCCTTGAGGGAGACGAGAAAGCATTCAACATCAACGTTATCCATGAAATGCTCAATAGAAGCCTGACGCTGCGCGGGAGTCATGGAGCCATCCAACATGACGGTGGTAATGCCAGCTCTACGTAGACGCCACTCGATAAGCTGCAGCATGGTCGTGAACTGTGAAAAAATAATAGACTTGTGCGATGCATTGTCTGAACGGAGTTTGTGCAGCTCGTGGACGAGCAGTTCAATCTTGGAAGATGAAGTCCAATTCTCCATCTTGATTCGGTTAATAATCGAATTCTTCTTGACCAATTTTTCGTCCTGCTCAATCTCAGGTTGCTCGAGATCAATCGACAGAGGAATATGACATCGAGGACAGTCGGGGGATTCTGTTGATCCAATGTAGCTAAAAACACAGGCTCGGCAAAAGTCGTGTTTGCATCGACTGCGAACGGTATCCTCTGCCGGCTCGTCGCAGATGCTGCAGATTAACACGTTTTGTCCACCGTCAGCATTCTTCTTCAAAATCAAATCGGGGTGGTCTGCCACTTGTCGCATTTGCATGATGAGACCAAAAATGTTGGCGTAATTGTTCAAAAGTACACCTTGGGCGACGTAGGTGTCGAATTTGCGCTGACCATTGGTCATGATGCTATTGGCAAAGTCGTTCTCTTCTTCGCCAAAAAACTGTCTCTCAACGTAGACTTCCTTAACGGGCAGTTCCATAGAGTCGGTGTGGTCTTTCTTGAGGCGACGTAACATGATTCGTTTCGTCATCAATCTAAGCTTGCGAAAAGCCTCCCGGCCGGGCCCAAGATTGCCAAACTTTTGAATTGGGTTGAGAAGCTCCTGATTGAAGACAGAGACATGTTGCATGCCTGCATGGTTGCAATGGGAGCAGCGACTATCATCATTCATCGCCCACTCAGGAGTTGAGCAGGGACACTGTTTGCAGAGGTAGAGAGCAAATGGCCTGACATTCAAGAATCGAACGAGTGAAAAGAATTCTCCGATACGGTTTTGCAACGGAGTTCCGGTCAGACACCAGCGATATGTTGTTTGAAGGGCGAAACAAGCCTTCGCAGTCATAGTTGTCCGCGTCTTGATGCTGTGAGCCTCATCTAGGATGGCCCGGTGGAAATGAATTGAATGTATGACACTCTTTTCCTTGTGGATGCCGTTCTTTCGCTTAAAGCCTTTTTCTTGCTTTCGGTACATGGACTCCAAGCTATTGTAGGACATCATGATTACATCATATGTCTTGAGCTCTTTGGAGGTGATGGTTTTGGCCTTTTGGTTAGTTCCGTGGAAGACGAAAGTCTTCAGAGTGCCATCCGTGTATGATTTGATCTCCGACTGCCATTGCATCAATGCAACTGGCGGTACGAGAACCAATGATGGCTGCTTAGCTGGGTAATCGGACATGATAAGTGAGACAGCTTGAATGGTCTTGCCTAGACCCATTTCGTCACCTAGCAGTCCACCTTTCCATTCCAACTTTTCCATTTCTTTCATCCAAGCAAGCCCTTCCAGCTGGAATGGTTTGAGCTGCCTGGATATGCTTTGCGGCTGTGGAGCCATGCCAGCTTGAAGAACAGGCATCTTTTCCAAGTCTTCCCACATAGTAACGATTTCTGGATGGTGATATTCGAGGCGATCGCGTTCCTTCTTAAGGCGCCCTCTGTTGCCTGATCTATACGCTCGACGGTTGGCAGCAATCCTTTGTAACTGAGATACACCTTGCTCAGGGTCACTCGAGTCGGAAGAGGTCATAACAGCAGAGACTGAGGATACATCAGAAGTGATGCTAAGGCGCCCTCTGTTGCCTGATCTATACGCTCGACGGTTGGCAGCAATCCTTCGTGACTGAGATACACCTTGCTCAGGGTCACTCGAGTCGGAAGAGGTCATAACAGCAGAGACTGAGGATACATCAGAAGTGATGCCAACCATTTCGTCTGCGACCTCAGCATCGTCCGAACGCGTGACGGCTTTCCGTGCAGGATTGCGGCTTCTTGCAAAGGTTGATTTGGAACCAGTCGCTGCTGTTGGTGGCCTACCTCGTCTGACTGACACCCTGCCCTTTGCCGGTAGGGCCCTTGGTTTTGCTGGTAGCTTGCCCCTTTTCTTAGCTGAAAGGGGCTCATCATCCGAGAAAACATCAGACACATCATCGCCTGCATCCGCCGTAGCTTCGCATGTGGCCTCGTCCTCTGACAGCTCCAGGGGATCGGATAGTTCACTATCCAGCGCAGCGGCAACCGCGATTTCTGTATCCATGTCAATGTCTGACGCTGTGGGATCCTCTGAATCCGATATTACTCTGCTCTTCTTTGCTGGACGAGCGAGCTGTGTGAATGATGTAGTTGAGGCTCTGGTTCTCTTTGATACACTGGGGGCGGGGAGAGGCGAGGAGATGGCAGTCACGGCACGACTGCTCCTACGGCGCGGCGAGGAACGCAATGTTGCCTCTCCAGCTCTTGCAAACTCTTCATCCTGCACCTGACGGGCTATCTTTGCGTACCGGCCTGTGTCAGAGAAATCGTCATCTTCCTCGTCAGAATCGATGATTTCAGTAAGCTTCCTATTCGCTTTCATGGAGTAGATGCTTTTTCTGAGTGCTCGTTCGCTGTCAGAGTCGTCATCACGACGCCTAGCAGGCAGACGTATTTCTAGTGAAGTAAGGGGTCTCGAGGCTTCGGTAGACGCTGAAACTTCTGCAGCCAAGGGCGTAGGAAACGTGCTGGTAGCAGGTGTCGAGTACTCGGCATCAGATGACAGCTCTTGTGGAGTGACAGCAGAAGACGCAGATGTGCTGCTAATTGCTGTTGCTCTTGCGTGCCGTGGTTCGACTCCATTCAAATGACAAGGCGAGGATGCTGTAGAAGTCGTAGCCGCACTGAGTAAAGAGGCACGATATGGTCGTCCTCGAGGTCGCTTAACAGGCTGTGCTGCGTCGCTGGAGACGACAATTTCATCTCCATTAGCTCGTCTAGATGAAGCTGACCTCGTCCGACGGACGCTGTCGATACCAGACGCTTCTGCCTCGCATGTTAGAAGAGGGACCAAGCCCAGATTGGACTATAGTAGACAATTACCAGAAACTTCCGACAATCCCATCGTGCCGTGTCGAGGGGAACGGCGCCTGCGTACTGGTTCCCCCTGATCTTAAGCTTTGGCGACTATGCAGATTAGGCGGGATGAAGTAGTATCTCGAGAGGTCGAGGGTGAATGAACACAATAACTAAAATGACAGAGCAGAACGCAAAACTGGTTGAATTGCTGCTGCCTTGGGTGTTGAAAAGCGGCAGACAGCAGCGACAGGGATGTAAAGGCAGTTACAGGAGAATTGGAAGTGCCAGTGGACCCAATTGCTTGACTACAACACGACGTTGCGCGTGGAAAGAACAATAGAGCCAACAGCCTTCAAAAAATGACCGAGCAGCGAAGTTGGTTCAATACCATGAACAAATTAAATAAATCTGCAGTCCTTTGCTGGGCAGGGCATCGATTGCTCCACAGGTGCGAAACGCCAGGAACCAAAAAGTGTCGCCACCGAGATGGTGCATGATGAGATTTTTCCCGCCCAAACCGCTCTCCGTGAATTGCGACCAGCATTCACAGTGCGCTCATTTTGGTCTCAACGGCTTGTAAGAGCCACGGCGCTTGGCCGCGTTCGCACGGCAAACACGAAAGCACGTGCTCACGGCAAAAGGGGTTTGATAGGCCGTGCTTGTCGAAGCTGGCACTGTAGTCGTCACTTTTTCCTCCGTGCATTCCTAACAAGTCCGTGCATGGCTCACAGTGCCCGACTACTTCAATTAATTTTCAGACGCCACTCACCTGACACCGTGTTAGCTGCGCGAATGATCAGCGTCACGTTCCAAATGGGCACTGGGAGATGAAGTTCTGCTCGAACAGGGGCAAGGAACAAGCAGGCAGTTTGTCACTCGGGTCGGTCTCAGTCAGACTCGGCATTTGTTGGTAAAATTGCCACCACCCGATCAATTCATCATCGACATCTTTGCAGGCCACAGCAAATCTCGCGCTCCGTCCTCGCTGCTCAGTGCCTCCAAAGAGCTTGCCTCTCATCATCCATCCATCATGTAAGTCCCATTGGTGCGCCGTTTCGAATGCAGCCGTCCTGACAACCATCAAATCTAACATCAATAAACAGGGTCCGCCGGAGTCAAACACGGAGTCAAGCCAATGGTGTATATCCGGAGCCAACGCGCAACATCACCGGACCGTAAGGCCATTTTTGTTTTGCCTCGGCTCCCCCTTTCCTTTCGTCCCTGGCGCTAACACGGCCATCATAGTCAGTCTGCCTTGACGGACTTCCTCGCTGTAAGTATGGCCCGTTTCTCCCAACCCAGCACTTATTCACAATCTTTGCAGAGTCACAACATCTCCGCGCGGCAAATACGGGATGATGCAGAGCTGCGACGCCAGCAAGCTGCCGCGCAGGCCCGTGAAAACGGAGCGCAGTTGACTGAAGAGGTCGAAGTTACCGTTGCGGAGTCAAGTGCCACTGGCAGACGACAGACTGGTCGCAATGGGGCGGGAACCCCAAAGTCAAAACGCAAACAGGACGAGGAGAAGGCAATCGAAAAGATCAAGGCTAGCAAAGCCTTCAAGAAGCGTAAGAAGCATGCTGATGACGACGATGACGATGACGAAATTGCTCGAGCTATCTTCGAGTCGCGCCTTGCACCCCTTCCAGGCCAGATGGAAAATTGTGCCATATGTGAGAAGCGGTTCACAGTTACACCCTATTCCGTAGCAGGGCCAGATGGCGGCCTCCTCTGTGCGCCATGTGGACGGGAGATCGCAAAGGAACGTCAGGGCACCAAGCCGAAGAAAAAGCCGAGAAAGCAGGCGGGCGGGATCGGTTCTCGGCGAAGCATTCAGAGTCGCATTCTCGACGGTGACGTTGGCACAAAGAGTCTTGCTACCCTATGTGTGCAGACCCTGGCCAAAAACGTCGACATGGCTGACAGCTTGGGAGACCTGCCCGAGCACCTGATTGATAAGATTGCTCGTATTTTTTCCAAGAGACGATTATTACGTTCCGAAACGCTTCCTCTGTTTGCACAGCCCACTACAGAGACAATACATATCTACGACGGAGCGAAGCTCGGGAGTCAAGACTTTATCAGCATCTTCCAGGTCTGCCCCAATCTGCGCCGATTCAAAGCGCGGTCGGCCATCCAGTTCAAAGATGAAGTCATGGACTATCTCTTGTCTCGTGAGATCGCACTGGAGAGCTTCTATCTTCACGGTGCCAACCTTCTCAGCGAACAGAAGTGGCACGGATTTTTTAGCAGCAAAGGCCAAGCCCTCAAAGGAGTCCAAGTTTACTGCACAGACAAACATTTCGGTGACGACACCGTCGCCATTATGGCAACACATTGTCCGAATCTGCGACGCCTAAAGATAGAGAACAACCAAAAGGTCACCGACAAAGGCGTTGAGGCCATAGGAAGTCTCTCTTCACTTGAACATATCGGCTTGCAACTTCAAAACAGGCCCTCATCCGCAGCCATCAATGCCGCGGTGTCCAAAATCGGACACAACCTCAAGACGCTCTCCCTTAAAATCGTCCCCCAAGCTGACGACACTGTTCTCCAATGCATTCACGAGAACTGCCACTCTCTGGCCAAGCTTCGTATCACCGACAGTGAGAAGATGACGGATAAAGGGTTCGCGGCCCTCTTCACAGGTTGGAACAACCCGCCTCTCCAGGTCGTCGATCTCCAAAAATGCCGATACATCGATGCAAGTCGCCCGCGTGCAAACGATGATGGTGTCGGTCTTTGCAGTGAAGGTTTCAAAGCCCTCATGGCACACTCTGGTCAAAGCCTAGAAGAGCTGAACGTTCATGCCTGCAGGCACATTACAAGACAAGCCTTGGAAGAGGTTTTCTCCGAGACTTCAACTTATCCAGAGTTGAAGAAGCTTGAGATCAGCTTCTGCGAGGAAGTCACTGATTTTGTACTGGGGTGTATCTTCAGGGCTTGCCCTAAGATCAAGGAGGTAAATGTCTTTGGGTGTATGAAGGTCAAGCAGGCCAGAGTCCCTCGCGGGGTCATTCTCGTGGGTGTACCAAACGCTCAGGGAATGATGACGGAGGGTATGGATTGAGTTCCTGCCCTACCAGACTTGTCTTGTATTATCATGTGCACCTATTGCTGATGGAGCGTTTTGGTGAGGAGCACACTCTTTGAGGGTGCAGCGGAGTTGCGACCCCTAAGAAGGGGTGCGTGGCACGACTATCTTTTGGGTACATTTGGTTCCACGATTCACAACTTCAGCCAAGAAATTTGTAAAGCCTGAGCATTTGGCGCATATGCTTTGTACAATGGAGGTGGCTACCGACTATGTGCAAAACTTTGCAGGCTATAATTGAATGATGTATTTCATTCAAAGGACTTTACGCTCTGCGCTGACTGTAGCATATCCGGGTCACTTTGACCAAGTGAGGTCCGAAAATTCCATGTATTCCCGCGGGGGGCTGGTCCCACTCACGTTTTTTGTCTAAATTCTTGTCTACTTTTGTTGTACAACCGGCAAGGCTCGCCGAGTCTGTCACCTTGCCAGATCCATGCTATAGAATGCAAGCGCTATACAGTAGGCTTAAATTTAAATAAGAGAGAGATGGCGATTGTCGACAAGTCCCCCAAATTTTATCCTCAATATGTGCCAAGAGAAAGATGCCATGTACAGAAATAACGGATTTTCAAAGATCACGTCCAAAGAAGGACATGCGCCAAGGGGAACAGTGGGAATCCAAGCCTCCAACAGCAGTTACGTCGAGACGACTTTGCGCCTCATACTCGCCTGGCTTTACCCGGAGACGAACACGACGTCGGATTTCTCTGTCCTGGCGCCAAGGCCTTGGCATCAACCCCGTGTTTTAATTAATATCCACCCCCATAAGATAGTAGTTTGGGTATTATATCCCCCGCGTTTGCGTACCGCAAGGGTTGCGGATCCATCTCTTTGCGTGACGTCAAAGGGTAATGAAGGATAAGCTCGCGGCTTTCTATGCTTCACCGTTCTCCACAAATTGCTGGTCCCTCCGACTCCAGGTGGTGAGGCGATCCTTGAGATCCTGAGGCAAGGGATCAACTTGCTGGGTGTCTCTCAGCCGCAAGGGGAAGCCGGAACAACCACCAGTGTCGCCGAAGTAGTACAGATGAGCAAAAATGTCAGTGATGAAGCGGCTGGCGTTGCACTCGACATTGGCGATGCCCCTGCAGATCTTGACATCGGAGATGGCGTAGTCTGTCGTGAAGGCGTCCCCGCCAGACAGCCAATACTCTGGCGTGACATGTCGATAGCCGGCAAACATGGGAGGAAGACGGGGAACGGGGTCGTTCTCGTGAGTGACTCGCCACTGTCCGCCTCGCTGCTCAGAGAACCAATTCGCAAACTTGTCATTGCCAACACGCGGCGAGCCATATGTATACAGGTTGGCGGGAAGTCCGTCGCGGCGAAGGTAGGCTGCGCCAATGGTTGCGACGGCGCCTCCCAGTGAGTGCCCAGTGATGACGACTTCATAGCCGGGGTTCATCTCGCGGGCGTACATTATGGCTTGAGTGACAGCGTCCTTGATTTCGTCCCAGGCCTCGGCGAAACCAATGTGTAGTTTACACTCGGGTGTGAGGTCACAGTGGCGCCAGGCGAAGACGACGTCAGTGACGTAGTTGCGGATGTTATTGCTGCCACGCACAGAAAAGACGACTTCCTTACGGGCAGAGTCAACGGCTACGTAGGCGCCAATCCCGGTAAGCTCGCCCCTGGGTTTAGGACTTTAGAGAAGCTTTGGAGGAACGCAGCGACTGGTAGGGGGTCTGAAGACTGGGACTTACTCCATGGAAGCTACCACCAGAGGCCTGTTCTGCATGACCAGAGGACAGACCATGTCTGTACATACAATGGGCCTGCTGACAGCCGTGTTGAAATTGCAGTATGCAGCGGCAGCGTGCTGAGAATAATACTTGAGGTTGGTAAAGACCGTTTCGGATATCTCAACATTTCCTCCTAGAAACATCGTGTTGGCCAGAATCAAGCGTTATAGAGATTTGAGTTGTTGACATACCTCTAGTCTCGAGCGTTCTCAAGTAATCGCCCTGAGTGACTGTGGAAATTGGTTTCGCAGCAGCTATGGCGGCAACGCCAAGAACGATGCGGAGCGACATCTTATCAGGGACTCGAAAGAAGGCCGGTGTTTTCGACGAAACAGCTCTCCTAGAAAACCCGCTGTGGTCCAATAAGGGGTGAAAATGCGGCTTCTCTCTTCTCCATTGCCCCGGAGGCCACAATCACTGCAGGAAACGTGATGATCTTATACGCATTGCCTTCCCCCTTCACGATTGTTTGGCCAGTCACAGGTTCAATTGGCAAGCAACTAGCATGGCCATTGTCGCTTGGCCATGACGGACAGGTTGCGAAAGCAATAATCCATCCAGGACTTCCAGCTGACTGTCAACCTGCATCGCCAGTGGTTGCGCGATGTTCCCAGACTAGGTTCTCGAGCCCACGACGCTCCGTGCCCGTTGCCTCGCGCCGGTATGCAAGGGCAAAAAAAAAGGGCTAGGCAAAAGTCCACGCCCCTCTCTGAGCACTGAATTAGGCACGCCCTTCTTTTGCGGAGAGGCACTGAACACTAGATGGTTTACTTGCACACTGCTCAAGCAAAGCGAAATGGTCAACGCTTCCCAGACAGGAATGGACGCCATGCCACGATGGGCCCTGGCCGGGCCATGAGACACAAGCGGCAAGTTGGTCGGTTTCCCATGCCAGCGGCACACACACTGCCAGAGGTCAGCGGTGTGCCGGCCCCGAAGCAGGCTTGGGATTTGCACATACTTTTCAGCGATACCATGTTGCGATTTGGCTCGTCGGCGGAGATTGATGCCGGCTGAGGCAGGCCGCCACCCCTTTACAATCAGCTGCGTTGACGTCGACGTACGAGTTCATGTTGATTTGCGGAAATGGGAAAGGCTCGTATTGGGAAAATTTAACGCACCCCATGGTGGTAGTAATTAGAGTCATTAGACAGGAGTTGAATCGAGTGGATACGGAGGGGAAAGACAAACCGGTGGATACGTGGAACATGAATGGCGGGTGTGGCGGGCACGGGAGCGGGCGAGATGCTGGAGCAGCTCCGATGTTGCAATATGAAGAAATCAAGATGTCTGGGATGTTGGTGGGCACGGTGTAGCAGGTCTGCGTAATGCTGCCTGAGAAGTACGGTGACACGAGGGCATACAAAGAAAATACCTAGACAATGTTGACATCCAGTGTTGGCAGAACAAAGAAGACGCCCATGTTTGCTTTTCCTGCCCTTGTGATAAGTTATTCCCGCTGTGGCTGTCAGAGCAGGTGAGTAGTCACGTGCGGACAAGTCTGGTGATAAAAAGGATTAGTTATCTAGCGTATAACTAACGTTACCTACTTACCTACCTAGGGTAACTAATAGTCCCCCTAATTGGGGGCTGGGTCGACAACATACTGAAGTACAGAGAAAAACCGGTTTGTCACGGTACTATGGGCTCGGAGCGAGGCGTGAGCCTCACATTCATGTCTCGTCGATTGGTCGACGTCTGCGCCTTCTTCAAAGTTGATTTGCGCAACTTAATTCACACCCAGCCAAAATTACCACGTTTGAATCCCGTCATGCCACCTGAACTCGTCCATTCGTCGACACACTCTGCATTCAATCAACACCTATGTCTTTCTCAACCATGACACAGGCCGCAGCAGGACGAAGAGGCAGGACACATTGAACATTATGCCTCCAAAATACCCTCAGCTGCCCCCCACCTGGTCCCCCGAAATAAAGACATCCTCCCAATCGCTCAACGGCCCGTGATGGAACACAGCAGAACCATTGATGCTATTGTCAACAGTGTTGAGCCCTCTGACGCAACATTTGCCAATGTCCTACTCCCCATTGCGAATTTTGAAAATAAACAATCTGGTGACAGGGCAATTATATCAGCTCTTCGCTACACATCTCCCGACACAGAGACTCGGCGCGCTGCTGAGGAGGCAGACAAGCTATGACTTGAATATGCAAACATCGTAGTTGAGAGACTTGACCTATTCGAGCTCATACGATCGGTTGGCAACAGCGATCAATCGCCAGACGCCGAGTTTGCCTGGCTCCTCAATAGGACGTTGTTACGATATCGAGAATGTGGACATGGGGTGCTGGATAGTGATGGCATTAGAACTCGGCATCTTACGAGCATCGAGATCCAAAGGATGTGCGCCGAGTTTGATCGAAACATCCAAGAGTCTGCTCCGACAGAGATGCTTTTCACGGACGAGCAACTTTCAGGCGTGCCAAGAAAGGAGCTAAAAGGCTTACTTCTACACGACAGCGGCAAATGGAGAATCCAGCTGCGAGGGGACAGGGCTGAGGAATTGAAGCAGGTCGAACTAGACTCATTTGACAAACTGTACATGTTGATATGGTGGAGCAGCCGAACAAGTGCGAGGGAAATCAGTATGTTATTTTGCAACCGGTAAGATGATATGATGACCTTAGGCACGGGAGAGGATCTGCTATAACAACACAGTGCCACCAGGACGAGGATGACCATCGAGTATATCCAGCGACAATGCTTATGTGCAACTTTCCCTCGTCCAGAATACATCATCTCGTACTTCTCACCCATTCACAGGTCAACACAATCTTTCATGGTACGTCCATGCCCGAGATATCCTTAGTCGAATCAACTAACTCCGGACTAAGGATCCGGTCACTGTATGCATAACCTCTTGGGCAGACACAGATTTGCCACTTTACGCCGTTTCCAGGGTAGCTTTGAGATTGGCGAGGGATTTTCCAGCATGCTCGAACGGTGGTCATGCAAGAAAAGCGCCCTGTGCAGAGTCAGCTGTCACTATACATATCTTAGCAAGACATTTATGGATGCCTGGGTTCGGGAGCACCCTGACATGCCAGTGCCGCCCTAAATACAGTAAACTAGGTCTATAACGATATCCTTCGTGAGGCTTTTTTCATTGTTATATAGCAACTATTATTAAGGTGTAACTTTTATAGAGCTTATACTTTTTATTATATTTACTAGGAAATTACACTTAAGAGTATTATAAAGTATATATTAAGAGAAAGCAGTAAAATTTAGCTCTACTATAAGGAAATCTAGCTTTACTATAAAAAGTCTTAGCTCTTAAAGTAGAGCTTTATAATAATAAAATATATAGTAACTAAGTAAAAAGTTAATAATATTATTAGTAATATAATTATTAATAATTTACTAGGGAAAAACCTTAGATAACTATAAATTATTGTAAAAACCTAAATATTGCTAAGGTACAGAATCGTTATAGACATAGTTTACTGTAATTCCAGATGAAATAATTAACCCAACACTTCAGCATCGTCGAAGAACGTAACCGAGATCTCCGAGACGATTTTATACATAGACGGTCCCTTTATAAGCTTGATCAAATTATTTGTGTGGATGAATCCGGCGATGACCGCGAAATGGCGATACCGACGAAGGGCTATGCTCCGAAAGGGGTAACTCCGATCCAAAGTAAGCCATTTCATCGAGGCAAAAGGGTTTCCTTCCTCCCTGCGTATACTATTTTCTCTCGGACCAAACGCGGACACCAACGGCGTTTAGGCCTGGATTCTGTCGCCGCGGATGCTGCCTCGGGGCCCGGCTACCAACAGAACGTGGCTGGCCCAGTCTCACCGAGTGGCCATGTACCACGCTCCATGTTGGGAACACCTGCTCTCGCGCTCACCTTGGCTTGCTCACTCCGAGGGGACTTTGACTCCTGTTGAAAGCATTACAGCTTGCGATGCCACAACCGACTCGTCAGATGTACGATGTTGTAAGGTCCAATTCTCACCAGCGTACTCCGTACAAGCCCATGGTCGGGAGCTTGCGGATGAGGGGCTTGGAACAAGACGCCATTCTTAATCTCCGTACTCCGTAATGCAAAGCGTTGGGCAAGTAAGGGCTGCGAGCGGTTGGTGCGACGCTTCACACCGGCGGACCCTGTCAACAGTATGCAATTTACTGCAGGAGGGCAAAACTTGAACTGCAGTTAATTCCCGGCCCGCCTACTCCATCTAAACAAGAATAAGTTGGCAATATAAATGCTGTGCTGGCTGCCTGGCAGAGCAATTCTGTCCAGACCAAGAGGAACTGAGTCAGTTTATATGCATGGACACCTACCTTGGCAACAAGCCAAAGCAGTGCCACAAGATCCGTCTGCCAGTACCGAATAAAGACCAAATGCGTTTTCTGGAGATGGTCTAATAAATCACGAAATTCAAATATATAGCGAAGATATATGACGTCTGACCCTGTCATACAACACCATTTCGTTACTTTTGGTCAAGGAAGTCCTTGGCCTTGAAACACTGGGATGACCCTGCCGGCATGATCTTGCCGAACCAAGTCCTTTTGGATTGACACACCTCCTACGGAGCAGGTACCTTGGAACGCTTGGAGCAGACAGAGGCCCAGTCGACAAACAGCAAACTTACGAGAAAACGAGATGCAGACATGGCGTTATTAAGTGGAACGGGGCTTCTGCGCAACCTCGATCCAGGGGTTGTTTTCTTGCATCCCAGCTTCATAGTGTATTGAGGTTTCATGTTGGCTGCTTGTCATTGGCTTCATCGACAAAAGGCTGGCGAACGAGGCTCGCCGAGAAATACGCCTTGAACACAAGCTGGCATCGGCTATCCGCGAGCCCAGTATGATTAAGCTCTGTGATAGGATATTGCGGGCGTAACCACACCACGTAAACACTTGAAGGGACCAACCAACGCAGCGACGAGCTGACCTCTTTTGAGCCGTCAATGAAGTCACTACCTCAACCGAAATACCAACAACTCTGCATCAGGCCTTCACAGAAGCTGCAGTATTTCATCTGGATCCACTTGAGCAAAAAGGACTGGTTTGTGCGCGACGAAGACGGCCAAAACCCCAAAGTCTGACTCTGAACATTGCTAAATTGCATGCAATATTGGGTAGTTACGCAAAGAAAATTGCTAAAAATAACCCAGAGCCTGGAAATGCAGTTGAGTCGGGGGTGCAAATCAAAGCAACCCGTTGGGTGTTTCCTGGCCGACCAAAGCGTGCGACCTAATTTCGTGGCAGACTCGGTTTCCCCTGTCCCTTGCCCCTGAAAGAAGAAACAAAGGTATCAATGATTTGAGGACCCTCTAGCCTTCTTTTTGTACGGATACTTCTTGTTGGTTACGATGCTTACGAGCCATTCACGCTACCGACCCACAATGACTTGATGCCCAAATCCTTGGAATTCGGATGAAAGCCAACCTCCCAGGGACCTGGCCGGTCTTGACATGACGGATTGCACAGCAGAAGCACTCAAGTGCCACAGAACTGTATGGTTGACGGACTACAAGAAAAAAAAAATTGCGGGTACGTCATGATATATCACTGGGAGTGGTCCTGCGGATCAGGACGGCAAGATGCCCGATATGCCAGCTTGACATCGTACAACTTGACATCGTACAAGGCTGCCGACAATCTGTGAGACTTGATAGATGCGGTCTGACTTGACTGCCCAGCCATTGATTTGTCTCTTTGACTTGTACCTGTATAACGCGAGAAACTCCCCGAGTCATTTCCCCCCTCCTCACTTTGAACTTGCTTCCGTTTCTTTCTCTACACATGCTACTTCTTCCTCAAGATACTTTCCTACTCGAGACATCAACGACCTGATCGAAATGTCGTGGAAGGGCGTTTATATTTCACTGCTATTATACGCTGGTGTAGCTGTCGCTGCTTCTCGGCAAGACGGTCAAGCCATCTGCGACTTCTATGCCGAAAAGTACTATGGGGAGAGTAATGTCACAACGCAGCATCTTCTGATGCAGGGCATTGTTGCTTACGCTTACGCCGGGGGAGATACCCTCCCGGACCCGAAGCCTAACAGCACTGGGATTTTCAATGAGGGGAATTTCAACGGTGACAATGTCTTTCTCCGTCCCTTTTTCGACGGGTCAAGTATGAGACAGCCCGAACATCAAGCCATGTAATCCAGATATTGAAGCGCTAATCCTGCCAACAGTGGCAACTACCAATTTCAACAGTCGACCAACACGGATTGACTGGCTAGATGGAGGCGGTCTCGATCCCCTTCTTGCCTTCCTAAACGGCTCTACTAAAACTGCATTAATTAAGCCGAAATCAAACCAGGAGTAAGTCTGGATGTTTGCACCCCCTGAATCACTCTCGTGGTGGCGTATCTGGTAACCCAACGTTTGATGAAGTAGAATATTGTTCGACCATTGGTATGTTTCCTTCGGAAAGATTTACCAGTGCAGTCTGGCAAGCCGATTCGTAAAGGAGTACGCTCCATTTACGCCAGCTTATGTCCACCAATTCATGAATTTGACTCAGACAGAAGTGGCCTATTTCATCGACCAGCTCATGATAGCCAGTACATACTACAACTTCTCGGATGCCGATGTCAAGCAACTTTCTGCGGCGATGAATGCGAAATACAACAACCGGTGCTCGGCGCCAGACGCAAATGGGCAACTGAACTCGGTGTGCTTTGAAAAGTCCTGCCCACAAGCTGCAGATAAGAGAGATTGCGAGGCGTACAAGAATATAGGACCGTACGGCTTCAAGGCTACCTCTCCAACGGGCACTGCGACGGGAGTGATACCGACAATGTCTTCAACCTCGAACCCCGCCGCCTCCTCGTCCGCAGTAGCTGCGAGGGGAGGTTCCTCCAGCCTGGCTCCGGGAGCTATCGCGGGAATCGCGATCGGCGGCGCTGTTGTAATTCTGATGGCAGTGGGCATGTGGCTGTACTTCCGGCGTCAACAACAACAAAATAAGCCTGCGGAGTCGCCGGCGGCCGCCCAGAACCAGATGAGTCAAGCAGGCGCTGTTCCCTTCTCTCCCCAGTCGACATACAGCCAGCTACACGACAGCTACTACAGTCGGGGCGGCGGGCACGACTCGTACGCCGTATCAACACTTGGAAGCCCTGCCAGCCCACCCCCGACATGGGAACAGTCTAAACTGGCTCAACTTCAGGAAATGGCGGCCGAGGGTACTTCACCAACTCCTGCAACGGTGCCGTCTAACGACCAACAGGGACAGACGCATCAGATTGCGGAAATGGAAAGCCCGGATCCTCCCCCAGGATGGAGCAAGGAAGCAAAACAATAAAGATTGGAAGACGTGGAACTAGCAAGTTGTCGAGGGTTGGTGAAGTAAAGACGGCTAGCAAAATGCACGCCATCGCCCTACATGCCTTCTGCCCTAATCTAGGCTCTCAATTTGTGGTTGTCACATACAGCGCATGGGGGATGGCAAAGTGTTGGATAACTTGGAGACACCAGAACAACAGTTGGCACATAAACCATCTACGGCCATTCCCATACCTAAATAGAGACATTGATTACGGGACTCTTTTGGTTTTGTGATGACTGGGCTTACTTGACGAACTTGCGAGGAGTTCCCGGGCTGAGGCGCACTGACATGAAAATTGGGGGCCTTCCACGTGCGATGTTTTAGCTTTGACCGACTTAAAGTGACCAACTGCCGCTCTTATGCTGCCCGCGTGAACAGAAGATGCTTCACGACCGTGTCGCTCACACAGAAATGACATAGCATAGGCCTTGATTCAGCCAACCGTGTGCGTGCGGATCCGGGATGCGGTCATCATGGACCACGACGTTCCAAAGCGTCACACCTCACATCTACAAAAAACACTCACACGGTGTAGTAGCCAACAACTGCCCCAATCGTGCTGAATGGAATGAGAACCAGATGAGTTGTAGAGCTATCTAGCAGGCTCTGTCAGCAAACACGGAACAAACCGCGTCAATCCGTGTAATCTGGCCCGTGACTTTGGTGAGCGCCGCCGGGATCTCTCGCAGCATACAGAGGATTTTCCGTGGCGTGCCTGCGCTCATTGTCCGTCTGCGAGTGAGGGCATGGCCCTGCTGCGCTTGATCTTCGGCCGCTAAAGGAGCGACCGCCGCTAAAGGGGCCGACGCTGAACACTCTGCGGACAAGCGTCCACGTCAGGGGCAAGTTGGCGACGATGACTGCGGTGGACGACTCTCGAATATACCACAATGTCCACGGCGACCCGTACGGCTGCGCGAAGCTGAAGTATTTTCTTCTTGAGCGGCCAGTGGGTTCTCAAGAGCAGCGGTATCGGGATGAGTAGAATGATGACGTCGGAGGAGATGTTGAAGACGGCATTCGTGATTTTGGATGTTGGTGATTCCCCAACCTGAGGGTTGTGGGTTTCTGCTACGTGCTTTGACACCGCGCGTGCCGAAAAGTGCAAGTAGAGGGGCCTTCTCTCCCTTCTTTCCCCCGCAACGCTGTGGTTCATACTTGTCAGGCTAGTCTTGTAGCCTCCTTGTGCCGCAACTCCTCCTTGGGCCGTTGCGGGACTTGTTGGACTTTATAAAAAGACCATTTCTCTTCGACAAAGCAACTTGCCGTCGCTCCTCGAGGCCGCCGTGACAAGAGTGTGCATTCCCCTAGTGATGCGTACGTAAGGCGCCGTCTAATCTACTTACTTTGACACGACACACGACAGTCCGGTCGGACGCAGCACCACACCACCACGGGCAAGTGGAAAGCCAGCAGCACAATCGTGTCATGGAGATTGAGTGGGCGTCATTTTGGCACAGTTCGATTTAGACTTCGGGACCCGGTAATTCAACACCACGACGACCAGACCAACCCCTGTACTGCCCAACCCGTCCTCCCACGGCATCTTAAACCTGCTGTCCGTGTAAGATGCGATTGAATATCTCAAAGTTGCCGTGTGGATTATAGGCATGACTTCGATCATAGACAGCAAACGCCACAGCTTTCCACCGGTTAGCAAACTCCCGTTCCCGCAGGACCTCGAGCCAGCAGTAGGCAATGTCATCGGGGGGGTTGCTGAAGACGCCGCAGCCAAAGGCACCGAGAACTAGCATTTCGTGATGGTTGATTGCCGCTACTCGCAATGCGAGCCTCATCTTGTCCTTGGTCAGCGAGCGATCTTGCTGAAGGGAAAAGAAGCGCCCTGCTTGCGTCGTTCTCGGCTTTTTGATTGCCGCCACAGTGAATACGCTACACTTGGGCAAATCAGCCGCCGGCTGACGCATCAGCTCGTGATTGCGGGCAAGGCTTTCGCGTATTGTGTACACATTAGGGGAATATATCCCCCCACGACGGCGTAGCGGGTAGGCTTGATGTTCCAAGCTGCACGCGAGTGAGGAGCGACGGCAAAGTTCCTCTTCCTGTGCCAGGGCACCGTTTAGCCAACCGCCGCCACGATGGTTGGCATTGGCGAAATTGAGGACAAAGGGTCGGGTGTTCCGGAGCCCCTTTTCCCACGCCCACCTCCACAGGTTGGTGGCCGCGTCTAGAGTGTCCAAGTTACAGACTTCGATGCGAGGAGCAGTGCGAGGGGAATGAACGGGGGCAAGTCCTCCGAGATCGCTGAGGTGATACCTTTGCGACGAGGCAAGATTGACCGGTGATACATCATCCTGGAGACAGCGAACAAGGAGTTGCGTTTCCCGGGCCGTCGCGCGGAGCACGTCTCTCAGTGCTTCGGGGAGTCCCGAGTTGCCGCTTCCGCTTCGGTTCATGGCTTCGACGGGTCCCCGAAAAAAAAACGCCACTGACATATGATTGTGGGATGCCGGTCAAGGAGCGCCGATACTTCGAATAGTCGACGGGAATATTCAAGGTTAAGGACGCTTGCCGTGGCAGTATGTTGTTGCGGATGTCAGACTTGGAAAGGGACCTAGGAGGAGAGGCTGGAAGGCGTATATTTGTAGCCAAGGAGTGGAGGTGAGGGTTTGAAGAATACCCTTGGAGCGCTCAGAAATGCAAGCCTCAAGTGCCGTGGGTGTTGGGACGCCTTTGAACGCTCAGAAATGCAAGCCTCAAGTGCCGTGGGTGTTGGGACGGACGGCCTGTGCTGTTTGGGCCCTTGTTCGTGGCCGGCTTAGTTATAGTAATAGTAAAGTTAAAGAGTTATAAAGTCTATTAAGTAAGGTCACCGTAACCCGCGTACAGGCTTCAAAGCTCTCAACGTGGGCGGGAAACCAACTGCGTGTTTGGTGCAAGTGAAGAGATGTGGCCTGCCTTTGTTGCACAGTCGGCCCTGCTTTTGTACGGAATTCACGTGTGACTGAACAAATAAAACACACAACCATGTGGAAAAAGACACAGGATCTAACAAGAGAATCATGATTTCTTTTTACCTTGTGCCAGATGGTCAGTTTCCGCCGTTGTTCGTACGCTCATCGTCTATGTGGCTGGACAAAAGAACACACAACCATGTGGAAAAAGACATGGGGTCTAACGAGAGTTTCATGACAAAGGGTCAGGTCAAAAGAAATTTTGCGCAACTTCTTTGTTCACGTTCACGTCACCTGGGTGTTTCTCTCCGAGTTTCCCTAGTGTCCGTTTCTCCCATTGTCAAGCTCATCTGAGTCATCTCTATGGGTGTCGTGGTGACGTTCTGGGGCAAAGATACCCCGAAGGTCAGTGTTGTCCGAGTGGGACACCATTGGTCAGCCTTTGCCACCTTCTTGGAGATGCTTCTTCCTTGTCACGCCTGCAAAAGACGTACCGACTCTCCGTGCGCACCTGGGGATTATTCTTCATCATCCTGCACAAAATCACCACCAAAATGGCAACACAACGCTCGCATGTTGACCAGTCCTGCGATGCAGACGTGCCCGCCCTGAAAAGGCTGGTTTGTCATTGCCATCTTGCGTCGAGCCCGTCATCCGCTAGACCCCATGATATCGCCGTCCGATCGGAACGGCGGCCGCTCGGATGCACAACGCAACCCCACGCACGCCAACGTGGTGAAGCCTCCGTCAACTCCGGAACTGCTTACGAAGCAGCGTCAGCTTCTTGATCATACACGGCGCTAACGCCAAGTCGGATAGGCGGTTATTGAATCAGGCGGCAATTCGAATCGGCAAGTAGGCGATGCCGTAGCATCAGATGTCGGTGACTGCGTCGTTGCCAGGGAGGTTGCGGGCGCCAGCTTGTTCCGCGCAGATATATAACTACCACCAGGGCCTGGCACGCTCAAGATTTCCCTGGCTTTGCCTGCGCCGGAGTAAATGTTGTCGTTGCAACCGCAGCGGATTCGGATACGACCACAACTCGAAACAGTCCCCGCCATGCCGTCAGCTCAAGTCATGAAGCCCTCCGCTGTTGATCCCAGAGATAATGCGGGCTGTTCCTATTCCGCGGGCACCGAGGGCGACGACGCCGCACTGCCATCCACGTCGGAATACCTCAAATCGTTGCCGGCCGAGAACCTGGAGCCGCTTTGGTCCAGAATGGATGCCATGGTCCCCCGGGCACCCAATCCAGTTGCGAAGCCCCATGTATGGAAATTCAAGAACACGCTGCCGCTGCTGTCAACAGCAGGACGGCTGGTGTCGGAGGAGCAAGCAGAGAGGAGGGTGTTGATGCTGGTGAACCCCAGTATGAGTGAGTCTCGCAAGACAAGCCAAGCTGCGCGTCCCGTGCGCGGTACCTCTCCTGGATCAAGATGTCATCTACTCGGCCTTCAACGCCCCCGTATCTGGCTGTATCCTAACAGACTTCCACTGCGCAGGCGCTCCTCACACAACCGACACCATCTACGGCGGCCTCCAGCTCGTCAATCCTGGCGAGACGGCGCCCGCCCATCGTCACATGGCGTACGCGTGCCGCTTCATCATCTCTGGCCAAGGGTTTACAGCTGTCGAAGGCACAAGACTGCCGCTAAAGAGGGGTGACGTCGTCATCACACCGTCCTGGCACTGGCACGACCACGGAAATGAAAGCAAGAAGCCTGTCATATGGCTGGACGCCTTGAACCTGCCTCTCTTTACGTTTGCAAAGGTGCACTTTGCAGAAAACTACCCGGAAAAACGATACCCCAGCACGTAAGACTTTTCTGTACCTGTCCAATTTGAAAGTGGCGGGATTTGCAAAAAAGTGATGAGTCTCTGCGTCGCATTCGGCCGGGAATACGGTGTTCAAGATGCTAATTCTCCAGCATCTGCAGGTCGGGTGGTTCCAGCGAGTGGCATCACCCTTGGGAAACGACCCAACGCGCCCTTGATGCCATGCCAGGGCTCCATGCGACATACCATTACGAGACCACCGACGGCGAGCCGCTGTCCACCACGCTCGGGGTGCAGGCGGAGCGTGTCAATGTCGGTGTGACCACAGACGTTACGCAAGACACTAGGTCCTTCATCTACCACTGCTATCAAGGGCAAGGCTGCTCCGTGATAGAGTCACCTTCGGGCGCGAAAGAGCAGTTGGACTGGGAGACAGCAGACACATTTGTGGTACCAGCGTGGTCAAAGGTACAGCACGTCAACCGAGGCGCAGACGCGGCCTACTTGGTCGCAATTCACGATGGGCCATTGCTGGATCGGCTGGGCCTGAGGAAGAAAGAGTGACAGGCGAGGTTGACCTGAGGGTCAAGATGCGTTGGACAACTGCCATGGCAAGATGGGGTCTGAGCATTGGGGTTCGTAGTGAGCATAGTACAGTCGGTCTGTTTACCATTGAAAACTTGTATGAGACGCTGCGATCGTGGGCCTGGCGCGCAGAGAACGCCGGTACGGGTGAGTCGGGCTCGCGTGATGTCGCCAACTCGTCCCAGACAAGAACAGACCGTGGAGAGTCGGGATCTCGGGGAGTATGCCATCATGTCATGTCGTTGAGCAGCTTGCAAATTCTCGCCGCAGACAGTCACGAAGCCGACCTGTACACGAGATATTTCTCCAGCGGGAGTGTGTCATATGATACAAGCCTGGAGTACTAATATACACAAGAGTCATTCGTGCTTCCAAGGCACAAAGCACCCAAGCGGATGAACGGCCACGACCATGGAACTGGTCGCATGCCACGTTGCATGCGGACGTTGCCGCCACATCACCATCATTCCAAATGACCACGCTAGCAACGCCCTTTCATGTCGACCGGCCGATCATTGCATGGTGGTGCATTTTCCCCTGCAGCACGTGCTTGGCGAAACATCCGGACGAGTGTCATGAAAGAATGACGCCGAGCTCAATATGCGACGTCTCATTGACCAGTGGCATGCACCCGAACATGTCGTAATAATCGTTGAGGCACTTGCTTCGAGCCTCGCCGTGCCCAGGTTTCGTGCTGATACCAACCTTCGGTACGGCGCTCACGTAACTATCCCTGCCCTTGACCAGCAGGGGTCCCTCGCCAGTCATGAGGGATGTTATAAAGTTGAGCGCGATGTCCTCGCAGTTGAAATGCTCGTCCACGTAAGCTCGAATTTTTTGGGGGACGTCGTCCTGTGAGAAGTAGTAGTCCATGAAGGAAATGTGAGTGAAGGCCAGCCCAGACAGAATCATGTTGTAGTAGTTGTGGTCCTCATTGGTGGAGCAGAGGGTGTACGTCCACCGGCCATCAGCGTCTCGGTCCGCGCATCGTGTGAATCCTCCAGTCATGCGACGTCGGCCGAACTTGCGCCAGGTCTGAAATACGAACTCGAGGTCTTTGGGCTTGTAGTAGATGTCGTCATCGGAAAGGAAAATAGCCTGGGTCTCGTACGCGGGATCGGGCCATAGCTTCTGGTTGAGGCTGTTCTGTTTCGACTGTCGGTACCGGACAGAAACGCCGTGCTTGGATTTGTAGTTCGGAGGGGGCGCATTGTCTACATCGTTCCACACCACCACCACTTTAATCAGGGAAGGAATCTCTTCGGATAACAGATTACTCAGGGTGTCATTCAGCTCTTTGGGTCGACGATACGTCTGCAATGCGATGCTAAGAAACCATGGTTAGCCAATGGCGGCGCGCAAGTAGGGTTTGCTCGCAGCAAGGGGCGGGCCATACGTAAACTTGTCATCGCGTAGGTTCTGATACTTCGTCTGTGACGCCGCCCAAATCTCGTCGGATCCGGTAAAGTCACCACAATGAGGGATTAGGCTCGTCTTGAAAGAATGAGGGATTAGGCTCGTCTTGAAAGTGTCGCTGGCCGTGCCGGCCATGCGCTGCAGGTACTTTTCTGGCGCGTACGGGGACAGGGTGAACATGAGGCCGGCCGTCAGAGTAAAGGCAAAGACGATGGTGGCAATGCGCCTGCACGTTCGGGTTTGAAAGGCGCTCAGGGGCTGGGATGCATCCATGACTTTCAGTGCGATTGTAGAGCACGCGGCGGCGGTTGCATGCGACGCGGCCCTGACAAGCAATTCGTCACGCCACCACCGAAAGGCCAGGGCTCGTGGGAATCTCACATATGACGAACCGCTGGCCGCGAGGATGAAGGAGAAGAAAGAGTTGCACAGCAAGTCCGCTGGCTGGATTGGACGTTTGGTCGCGTATGCGCACGGAATTTAGATGATGCGCACACGGATCGTGGACCCGAGCGCCCCTGAAAAAGGGGCGCATATAATTCTCTCCTTTGTAGCTTAATTCAGGGCTCTTCTCTATCGTGTACGTGATATCTAGAGGTCGGACCCCCTCGGCGGTGCGATTCAGACGCCTGTCACAGGTCTAAGGTCTAGTGGCCTGGCTTTGAGCCCCTGAATTAGTGTGGGCGGACATTAAGTGGAGCTGGAAGTAGGGGCACGTAAAGTAACTTACATTGTATCCTGCGGGGTCTGGTCAAGGCGCCAGCAAAATCGAGGAGTGGTGAGCACCGCAGCAAGTACCGAGCCACTTCAGCAACCAACTACATCCTGGCTACTCCGTAGTCTCCTTGGGACCTGCGCCCCTCGAATCATGAAGCACTCCATGCTTGCTTAGGTAGGTACTCAAGAACTTTAGTACATGAGTACTCCGTACACTACCCTAGCCCTGCATGTGCACTTGTCCGGCACCCAGAAGTGAGAAAGATCCGCGACTCTGCTCGGCTTCGGAATTCGATGAGAAGAATCTCCCCCCGCATCTCTGACGCAAGCCTTTGTGTAGTCATTTTCATGCCTAGATATTTCCGCTTCTTTACCGCAGTCGGAGTTGAAATGTTGTTCTGGCTTCGCGGGGTCGTGCAACGCCCCACCATCAAGAGGCTCGCTAGGACTCGCCATCTAATAGACGGCGAGCACTATTTACCAAGTAAGTACTCCGTACCTAAGTGTTACTCCGTAAGTACAGCTTACCTAAGTAAGTAGGTACTTAAGTAGGTACGTTGGTATACTCGGTACTCCGTAGGCGTCGGTTGGAATCGAGATGCAACCACATCTTTCGGCGCAATGCGACGACTGGCAAGGACATCCGAAACATTGACACACGCTGGCTGCATGGCTTGCACCGCAGAGGCAGACTTGGGCAGCGCAAGGCTCGTGTCGATGATGGGCTGATTCTGCGAATAGTTACACCAAGTCGCATTTGACCTCTCCCGACCACAGACGACTCCATGTCATGCGCCCCGATGTGACCCAGCCATCACCCGACACGGCCCAATCTGTGCCTTTCAGCCACTGCCCTTGATCATAAGAGGCGTCCATTGATCCTGCTTGGAAAGTTAAAGGGTGCCCTTTTCGGCGGAAACCTTTCCCTTTCCAGTAATGCTCTCTCAGGCACATGCTGTCGGACCGCACGTCCTTGTGCACGCTGCCGTCATGCGACAACAACAAGCGGAATCGCGGCGTGCTGCTTACTTGCTTGACCTGTTTTTTTCATAAGTACGTTCTCCATCCTTTCAGTCCATCACTTTTGCGATCTGGCATGCAGCCGACCCGTTTTTCTTTTATTTCTCTTTTCTTGTTGTGCACTTGTAGATTGCTAAACCGAGCGGCCACTATCGCCGTATGGCTGGTCAACATCCAGTGCCATCTATAGCTGCGTAAAGACGTCGCCCGTCACATTTTCGGCTGGGCAAAAATGATCTCAATCAAGTTGGAAACCGCCTTTCTTGTGGCCACACTGTCCATTGGCGTCATTGGGCGGCCCTCGCCAGGAGAGTCGCCCACTCACAAGCCTGTCCCGGGCAGGTCCCTTCAGAGCTCAAACTTGCCCGATGACTATTACGTCCCTTCGTACTACCCAGCTCCGTATGGAGGGTGGGTAAGCGATTGGCAGGAGAGCTATCGTAAAGCAAGACGCTTCGTGGCTTCCATGAACCTGGCCGAGAAAACCAACATCACTGCGGGTAGTGGCATATTCATGGGTAAGTCATAGTTGGTACTCGACGTATTTGTTTATGAAAGACAGGTTCTTTAAGCGTTCAATCTAACACCTGTGGCAGGGTGAGTGATGAAAAATCACACCAGGCCGCTCAGAATCCTGCTCGCCCCGTTCCATCATCACTGACTGTTCTCGTCCCTTGAAACACGCATCGATGCAGACACTGTAATGGCAATACTGGATCTGCCCTTCGCCTAGGATTTCCGCAGCTCTGCTTCAACGATGGTCACAACGGAGTCCGACAGGCTGACAACGTGACGGTCTTCCCTGACGGAATCACCACCGGTGCGACTTTTGACAAGCAACTCATGTACCAGCGCGCCGTCGCTATCGGCAAGGAAGCCCGTGGCAAGGGAGTCAATGTATGGCTAGGCCCAACTGTTGGGCCGATTGGGCGCAAACCAAGGGGTGGTCGCAACTGGGAGGGATTCGGTGCTGATCCGTCCCTGCAAGCCATCGGGGCTCGCGAGACGATAAGAGGTGTTCAAGAACAAGGTGTCATTGCCACTATCAAGCACTTCGTTGGTAACGAACAGGAAATGTATCGCATGTACAACCCGTTCCAATATGGCTACAGTGCCAACATCGGTATATCCCCGCCGTCCTCGCCTTGCCAAACTTGTCTTGAGCTGACATTCTCCCTCCTAGATGATAGAACTCTGCATGAAGTATACATGTGGCCTTCTGCAGAAGGTATTCACGCGGGTGTTGGATCAGTCATGATAGCATACAACGCGGTAGGTAACTGGTCAGTCAGGGATGCTTGATTCGGTAAAAGGACTAAGTGATACAGGTTAACGGTACGGCATGCAGTCAACACCCGTATCTTATCAACGCGCTGCTTAAAGATGAACTTGGCTTCCAGGGCTTTGTACAGTCCGATTGGCTTTCTCACATGTCTGGCGTGGCCTCTGCCATTGCTGGCTTGGATGTGGACATGCCAGGAGACACTCAGATTCCGCTGCTTGGCCATTCATACTGGATGTACGAGCTTAGTAGATCGGTTCTCAATGGCTCAGTGCCAATGGACCGCTTGAACGACATGACTACGCGTCTCGTGGCTGCATGGTACAAGATGGGGCAAGATGAGAACTTTCCCGAGACCAACTTTGACACAAACACGAAGAAAAGGGAGGGCCTCCTATATCCTGCTGCCTGGCCGGACACGCCCAAGGTTGTGGTTAACAAATTCGTTCCCGTCCAAGCCGATCATGACGGGATTGCTCGTCAGGTAGCACAGGATGCCATTACACTTCTCAAGAACAACGACACTCTACTGCCACTGAGGAGGTCTCAGTCTCTCAAGATTTTTGGCACGGGAGCTCAAACCAACCCAGATGGTGCCAATGCTTGCTCTGATCGGAAATGCAACAAGGGCACCCTGGGCCAAGGATGGGGATCCGGCACGGTAGATTATATGTACCTAAACGATCCCATCACTGCTATCAAGGCCAAGGCCGACGATGTCCGCTTCTATAGCACGGACTCTTTTCCTAGGAAAATCGACGAGCCACAAGATACAGATGTTGCCGTTGTCTTCATCACCTCCGACTCGGGCGAGAACACCTGGACCGTTGAAGGCAACCACGGCGATCGAGACGCCTCCGGTCTCCACGCATGGCACGGCGGGGACAAGCTGGTCCAAGATGTCGCCTCGAGATACAAGAATGTCGTCGTGGTAGCACACACTGTTGGCCCACTGATACTTGAGAAGTGGATTGATCTGCCTTCAGTGAAGTCGGTCTTGATTGCCCACCTACCTGGCCAAGAAGCGGGACGGTCTCTTGCCGAAGTCTTGTTCGGCGACGTCTCGCCAAGCGGCCATCTTCCCTACTCGATCACAAAAAGAGAGGAAGACCTACCAGAGAGCGTGACCAAACTGATAGACAGCTACAATCTCCACCAGCCAGAAGACACATATACGGAAGGCCTTTATATCGATTACCGATGGCTGAACAAGAATAACATCAAGCCTCGATACGCATTTGGACATGGTCTGAGCTATACCAACTTTACGTATTCCAAGGCAGCGATCACCAAAGTTAGCCAAATGAGCAGCACGCCGCCTACCAGGCCACCGAAAACAGGTATACTTGACTACACGCAGGCCATCCCCGAGCCGAGCGAAGCGGTAATGCCGGACGGCTTTCACAAGCACTGGCGGTACATCTACTCGTGGCTTTTACCGTCGGAAGCCGTTGACGCTGCGGCGGACAGGAGAAACAAGTACGAGTACCCCGATGGATACTCAACGGTCCAGAAATCCGGTCCTCGCGCTGGTGGTGGGCAAGGGGGCAATCCCGCATTGTGGGATGTGGCGTACAAGCTGTCCGTGGAAGTCACCAATGTTGGACCAAAGTACTCTGGAAAGGCTTCTGTACAGGCATATGTGCAATTCCCCGAGAACAGCAAATACGAAACACCCATCACCCAGCTGCGCGATTTTGAGAAGACAGACACGCTTGCGCCCGGCGAAAGCACGACTGTTGAGTTGCATTTGACCAGAAAGGACTTGAGCGTGTGGGATGTCGTGCTGCAGGAATGGGTGATTCCCGTTGTTGATGGACAATATACCGTCTTGCTGGGAGATGCCAGTGATAGCTTCCAAGTCTCCTGCCGCGTCGACAGGTTGGAATGCATCACCCTTGCCCAAGGTTTATAGCTGCACTAGTCACAGAAATTGGCACATACGACCATAGCTGCCAGTAAAGCTCAGAAACCCGTCCGATCTTCCAGGAGAATCTGGCAAGCGCTGGATTAGTAGTTGGGTCGGTGACGACCAGCGAATACCTAGTATTGTATGTTTTTGTTATACCTTTTTTTTGCTCTTTTACTTTAACTTAAAGTCTATAAACAGCTTATTTATATATTTTTTAATTTAATTTAATTTAGTAAAAGCTATTTCTTCTTAATAGAGATTAAAGTATATAGTAGTTAAGTAGTTAAAAAACTTCATTAAGTTATAGTTTATAAATACTTTAAGCTTATAGTAAAAAGTAACTTAACTTTAAATCTTTATAAATATAATAGACTTAAGCTATAGGTTTAAGTAGGTATAAAGCACTATATTAGTACTTTATTAAATATGCTTTAGATATATATTAAACTTATATATATATAATAAGTAGTAAAAGAGAATAAAGAGCTTCTTCTTTCTTTTTTTTCTCTTCTTAAGTTTATAGATACTAGTAATACTTATATATAGTAGCTTATAAAGCTAGTTCTTAATATACTATAAACTTTATTTTACTATAATAAATAAATACTTTTAAAACTTTATAAAGAGTAACTTACTATTAGCTAGCAATATAATACTACTAAGTACTTAGGCTAAAGTAGCTGCTCTCTAGGAAACTATTAATAACTAGGTATAACTAATTTATAAATTAATATAGTAGTATATTATATTCTCTAGATTAGTACTTTTTATACTAAATAATTTCTTGCTCTCTCTTTATCTAGGTATATTATTAGCTAATTAAGAGACTCTTTATATATAATATAAGTATAATAAATAGAGCTTATATAATCTAGTTAATTACTAAGCACATAATAATAGGGATTCTTATAGTATAGTAGAAGTAACTTTAGATATAGTATAAAATTGTATGTAATAGTATGTATTAAAGAGTATAGTT